TGGTTCTCTTTAGAACCATGAGTTCTATATAGAACCATTTCATGCTTAAATGGTTCTTTGCATGGTGAACAGGATCTTCAGATTGATGTGTATGGTTCAATATAGAACCTTTTGGAAATAGTTCTATGTAGCACCAAAAGGGTACTTCTACTGTTATGATGTCAAGCTTGTAACAACGGAAGAACCCGTTTTGATGCTTTTTATAGAACCATATGCAGCACATTTTCCATTAATCTAAAGAAGCTTTTCACCATGCAAGGAACCAAGCATGAGATGGTTACATATAGAACTTTAGAAGATCCAAATAGAAAAAGAACCATCGTGTAGGCCAATTTTTCAATGCATTTTATGAGTGAAATTGAGATTTTACTGCTATGTAGCAACCATACTAGAACATCTATTAACTCTTTGAAAGCATAACTACTGCCTTGTGACAACTGTGCAATTCAGGTTTCCTGAATCCTCTTTGATAATGTAAGTGCTGCCCTGTAACTACTGTCCAATCATCCAGCTCCCACAACGCAACATTGAAATTATAAATTAGCATTTTCTAGCATTAGCTAGGCTAATTATTCATTAGGCTCTCTAAGTGAGACCGAGTCTCGCTCTGTTGACACTCTTGTCCTTTGTTAGCTGGCAGTGCTAGCGGACAGAGCGCAGTGTGTAGTCTGTGGAGAGTAAGAGCACTGCTGCTGACTGATATGTGATACCAGTTGACATCTGGCACCCCGGTGTCCCCAGAGACGTGGAGGAACCCACATTTTGCACGTATGGGATACAGGCACACACTCTTTCTTTGTCTCCTTCTCTCCATTTTACACTGTCTTTCTCTCACACACACAATGCATGCACATACGGTACAGTGTAAAGACACTTCATTTATTTAATGTTCAGCCAAGACAGATATTAAGTATAAGTTGTTCGATTTTTTAGCATCAGAAGACAAGCAGAAAACATATATTTAACTGAAAATGACAAAGAAGCCTCAACGACTAAATACAATATCACATTTTGCTTTCAATTTTTAAAGAGATATGCATGTATTTTTTCCACACCTCCAAAGTTCACTCATAGAAGTTGGTTGCATTTTCTGATTCTCTGCTACAATCCAAGTAATCTCAAAACACATTCAGCGATGGTAAGGTCTGGGCTCTGGGGTGGTCAGTACATTGTTCTCAAAAAAAAAAAAACAGCTTCCTGATTTGCAAATATTCTTCTATTTTGTCTATTAATATTCCTCAGCAAAGAGTTACTGACAGCTAAACGTCCTTTCAGCCCCATAACACTGTCTTCTAGAGTTAACAGAAGTATTGACAGAAGGTTAGACAGAAATTCCTGTAATTTTTTTCATATCTGTAGCAAGAGTGAGTACTTGACTTTATCCTGTCTCTCAAAAGTGAAGGCTTTAAGTACTGTTGATCTTGGTCATGTACCACGTCTTGCATGGTTGTTAGGACTCCCATTTTCTTTATATGTTTTAATGATATTTAGAACTAATTGTACCAGTTATTCATTTTTTCTTGTACTTAATGGCTGCTTTGAAAGAAAAAAGAAGGGTGGGTTCTGCCTTTTGCACAGTACTGTACATTTTATATTATATATGCAGGCTCAAAGCCCTGAGGTCTATTGGCACTACTAAAATGCCCAGACATACACACAGCTCTCAGCCCTGAGACAGCCCTGACTAGACACAGGTTATTCTGGGAGACTGAGGTGAATAGTAGCCCCTCAGGAGTTACACAATGGAGACCATCAGTCTGATTCTCCTGAGCGTGTGTGGCAGGGTTTAGTGATAGGAGGCAGTAAGCGTCCGTCACTCGCAATGCTCCGACACCCATCATTGTGGTCTGGTATTTGAGAAATGTGTTTGATCCATAGAGTCAATCGTGTGGGTGCTGTTGTGTGCCTGTGTGTGTGTATGTCGGTGTCTAACCGCGTCTGTCTAACCCCTTATAAACCCTCGTTCTCATCTGTCACTCCAACTGTGTGGCTGCTTATTCTCTGAAGTGCTCCTGTCAGCCCTGCTGCTCTCACAAAGCTTGCACACACACAAGGGCACCACTCATAAATGCATGTACACACATACACACATGCTCAGACTGGCAGGCACTGTCTTTCCCCTGTAAACTTTACTAGTGCTCGAGGTCAGGACACAGGCTTACTCAGCTTCCGTCATTGTCTCTTTTCGTGGCTACTGTTGAGATCTGTCTGCTTAGGCCTTTCATATATATTTGCTGGAGTGGGGTGCATTACATATAGTACTGTCCAATCTACTGTCTAATTTACTGTGAAAATGGCCATTAAGTACAAGTTAGATATTTTTCAGGAGATGTTTCTTAGAAGATTAGATATTAGGTAACAGATTTACATAAGAAAGTCACAGGAAAATTAGTGAACAACAGCACTTTCCAAAACTGGAGTTCAAAACATTCTTAAGAAACAGAGAAAATAGGACTCGCAACAACTGTTCAAGATCTGGAAGACCACCAAAACTGTCCCCAATCAAGCTCAACTCCTGCTTCAGATCTGAAAAAAACATCCATAGGTGTTTCTGCCCTTCCTTCCACTGTGAGAAAGCATCTCAACACTATGAGTCTGAAAGGATGTGTAGCTGTCAAGGCGTCATTACAGGGAAAGGGAAATAGAAAATTTGCAAATCTAAGAATCTGCTGCTCCTCTCAGAACAACGGACTGGCCACACCAAAGCCCAGGCCTCATCGTCAGTGGATGTGTTTGTGATTACTTGGATCGTGAGGAGCAGAAAATGCAACCAACTTCTAAGACTGAACTTTGTAGATGTGGAAAAATATTACTGCCAAAATTCTTTGAAAAACTTAAAACAAGTCTCCTGAAAAAAATGGAAGGTTTGATAAAGTTTATGTTGTTGAGGCTTCTGTGTAATTCTTTGTTAAATTTAAGTTTCCTGCTTTTTTCCTTGATACTGATAAATGAATAACTTGTCCCTGATGGACGTTTTTTCAACTGGGAATTGACTAAACGAAGGGTGGACTTTCACTTTTCTCATAACATTTTGTACATGTAGCCTAGAATGTGAAAAGTTAATGCGTGGTGTGCTACAGCAAATAAGCTTGCTTGTGTTAATCCAAGAAAGTTTTATTTCTTTTCAAATTAGGGGCAGTGGGGTTTCCTCCCTATGACTAAATCAGATATTAGGAATAAGATTCAGCTTAGCTCCGAAATCAACTGCTCAGACTGATAATCTTAATAAGCAACTTGGCTAGGCCTCATGGACAGCAGTAAATACCTTAGTAGATAGCTGTCATTAGTACTGCACAAGCTGGTCCCTGCAGTTCAGTAATCACGTTACTGTGCCTGAAGCTTATGCCCGAGTTTGAAATGTGTCTTTTTGTGCCATGTGGCAAACACGTGTGTGGCTGGAGGATCCTCTTCTGATATAGCTCTTAAACTCCAGAGTAGCGTTTCTGAAAGCATTGAAAAAAAAACTTTAAAAAGAGGTGTTTTAACTCCAGATTAAAATTTCAGCTGTTCAGACTTGTGCATGTATCTTGTGTTTTGAGTTTTTGTCTTCTACCATTTGTAAATGTGCTGTTATTTCATTCGAACCACGTTTTATTCATTAAGCAATGAAGCTTTGAGATGAAGCTTTAAGGCTGAAAGTGTTACATAAAAGATTTTGGGGATTTCTGTCTTCCTTGAATTTCCTTGATGGCTCTTTGTATAACAGAACAGCAGTTTTCATTCATTTCTGGAATACTGGCCCCCCCACCCCACCCCACCCCACCCCACCCACCAGAATCTTAAAGAGTGACATGTCCTTGGTTTTCCCTACAATTTTTTTTTAGGGCCAGGTGTTCGACCCTTGATAGCATTGCATTTACCATGAGGTGTGAAGGTGCTCAGACCAATAACAAACTAAAGCAGCTGTACAAACATCAAATAAAGCATGGGATCTCAATGTGACAGCATAGTGTGTATAAAACCAGAGGTAATCCTAAAAATCTCTAGTGGGACCACAGCTTGCATCCATAACAATCCTGTATGCGTGAAATATCATGGTCTATTACTGAACATCAGTATATGTCTAATTACAAGTATCCTAACTTTTAAACCTCTATTTGGCTACTTCACACATTGAAAGTTCTTCTGAAATAGCAGTGCTGGGGTGCAAACCAAGGGCAGACCTAACTATAGTAATAGGTTAGGCTTACTAAGTATGTGAGGTCAGGCAATATTTGATGATTATAGCGATACAGCACTGCCATCTAGTGCTTGCTCAGCTTAAGGCCTACTGAAACCTAATGCAGATAGAATTCACACATGCCAAAACCATCTTTGATTACCAGCTATAGAGGTCACGCTCTCGCCTGAGCTGAGGGAGTTAAAGGAGTGCTGCCATCCATTGGCTGGTCAAACTGTACAGATTGGGCAAGTGGGTGTGGCTTTTGACAATCAAAGACATTCCATCTGCATTCTAGAATACTCCATGGACAATGAGGGGAATCCCGGCCCACGTCCATGACCTTCTGAAAGAGAGAGAGAGAGAGCGAGAGAGAGCGTGCGCGGGAGAGAGAGAGATATCTGGCAACTAGATCACACCATCTGGCTGAAACCACAGAGCTACAGCTTCCAGGACCTTTGGACTGTTATATGAGCTGCAGCTATGTGGGCTGAACGGTTCTGGTAACCCACACCCAGCACTCCGACTGCCGTCCCTATCACCTGCCTCTGAAGGCTCGAGGCCAGAGGCAGCCCGCATTTCCTGCTCTTAGAAGAGGAACGGAGATTGTGTGTCAATGATTTACTCGGCTAAGTGCCGGCCTGGGGACATTCTTTGGTTTTTAATTAGACAGATGGAATGCTTGTGATTAAGAGGCTTCTCTTCATGCCTCATTGACACCCTGTGTGTTAATGTTTCAGTTTGTATTAGGTGCATTCTTTCTCACAGACAAGCAAGGATCGTTGACAACAAAGGTAAAAACAGGCAAACACAGAGGGAGTAATATATTTGCCGATAACAGTTTAAGCTGGTGGTAAAAAATGTCTTTACTTAAGTTGATCATTACACCATACAGCACAGTGTACACTTCATAAAAAGTGCAGTGTTTCTTACATTTACTGATCTTCTGCTGCCATCTGCTGGCTAATAACATCAGGGGGAAAAGGCTTCGATCCTTAATACATTCTACATCAATCAAAGTTTAATTTTTAATCTCTCATTGTCAATCTTTAGTGCAAACAAGGCAAGAACATTCTAGTAGTTCTGAATGAAGTGCAATGTCCATGTTTAGAACACACGGATTCATTCTCAGGGCGACGAAATTCAAAGTACATGTAGTAAACAACATTAAATGTTTTACTTTATGGACATATCTGACCTAATCAGCACATAATAATCCAAAATAAGAAAAAAAAATACAAATGTACGAAATCCAATCCAGTTTTTTTTTTTATGAGAAAACAAACAAGGATAGAGGCATACTTAAACGTCCAATGAATTTGCAGAAAGCCAAAGTAGGCTGATACTGAAACCGAGAACAGACAGAACCATTTCAGTAAAAGCACTAATACATTGCATAACATTTGTGTGTTCTGGTCTCTTTTTTCCTCCCTCACGTAGCCAGTGGTATAAATCACGTCCGTTCATTTATTCTCAGTATTCACCCAACATTTCCCACGTTTTCCCCCTTAAACCATATCAGCTTTTCTGAGTTTGTTCAGTTGGCATACATGTTCACCACTCCAGAGTATCCCACTAAACAAAACAAAACTAGAGTAAATGCCAAAAGGAACTGTGTTTTCATTGAAGATAAGGCACTATACATTTGGTATCACCCATACTCTAAATATTATGCCTGTGGATTGAGGTCAATTTGATTGATTACATAAAGCCTGAGTTTTGAGGCAGAAAAGAAAGTACTGTCAGCTACAGATATATATTTATATTGATAGAATCAGGTCGCAAAATAGGCCAAAGTTGGAAAGGAAGTGCTATTTCTGCTGTTCTCTTTCAAAACCCTACTGGTGGTTTATGGCTGTGGGGTGTAGCGCAGGTAATTTTTCCCAGAAGGCATCTCTTTGGTGGTGAAACCAGCAGGAAAAAGCTTTTTGGCTTCTTCGTCTGAGAGAGAGGGGATGACCATGACATCCTCTCCAGACTTATGGAGAAAGAAAGAAAGGGAGAGACAGCGAACGATTAAAAGCTGGTATCAAGATACATAAACATCCAGTCATATCTAAAGTATAAATATCACATCAACTGAATAAAATATCAAGGCGTTGGTCTCTCAACCCCAGATAAGATTCTGATTACCTTCCAGTCCACAGGCGTGGCCACCTTCTTCTTTGCTGTCAGCTGCAGGGAATCAATGACCCGAAGTATCTCAGTGAAATTGCGCCCCGTAGTGGCAGGGTAGAGGATGGACAGCTTCAACTTTTTATCAGGACCAATAACAAACACCTAAAAAATATCACAAAGCAGGCAGTGACAACAAGGTTCATTTGTAAGACAAACATACTGCAACATCATTCATTTCAGTCTGACTGAGCATTATATAGAAGGCATAATTTAAAAAGATACAAATGTACACTTAGCGTGATGTTTCAAATGTATTTAATAGCTGTCTCTCTAAACTTGCACTGGTAGGGGTAAAGAAAACAGCTCTACAGTTAAAACACTACAGCTTTCATAACCTGTACATTACTGCAAGATATGTTTGTCTCAGATCAGTTATTTCATAAAGGCTACATTCAGTTTTCACAGTGTTCAGTAATATGTAGAGACAAAAACAATACAGAGTTTACTTGATAAGAGCCATATCTACATAGACAAAGATGAATGAACTGTATTAGAAGTTTAAAGGAAACCCACACATCGGGCAGTAAGAGGTATGCCGTCTTTGTCAAGCTCATCAGGGTCCAGCATACCCAGGAGGACCGACAGCTCTCGCTTGTCATCCGCTATGATGGGGAATGGCAGGGGAGAAGCTGCCTGCTCTGGATAAAGCGCCATCACATCCTACATACACAGAATGACAGTTTTAAATTTAGTCAAACTAACATACTGAAACAGAGAAATAAGTAAGCAATACTCTTGAGCATTTTAACATTATTGATGGCCAGTTTTTCATCAAACTGCAGCCCATTATACTTTGTAGTGCAGTGTTACAGCAAACAGGAAAAAATAGAGAGATTAAATCTAGTTCAAATATAAAAATCTAATAAAAAGCAGACAAATTTGTATGTATATGCATATTGTTATTACTCAAAAAAACAGAAAAAGGGCAAGATTTACTAAAAGAGTAACTCATTAGCTTGAAACAATGACATTTTCTTGAAATTTTGATTTAGTAGGTCAAAATAATGACTAACGAAAGAACATGTTATTACTCTTTGAGAAATTTCACAGAGAAATTCCTGCTCAACTGGGAACGGTATAATTTGAACTCATAATGCATCCTGTTAGCTCTGCGCATTAAACCGTGGTTGTGAAATGTCTGACTGAAGCCGCAGTGCAAACGAAGTAACAAGTGAAATCATTCTTTAAACCAGTTTAAGACATTCTTTTGCTTAAACAAATTGATTCATTTTTTATTTTTACTTCCTTCATCAAATTTAGAATAATGTGACGACGTGACAGGCATTCACTATCTTTTGTCAAAGTCAAAAATAAATGTCTCATAAACTTTGTTTCTCAGCAACGACAGCCCACGTTAGCACTAAAACTAGGACAAATTTTTCACAGCTGTTTAACAGTCAGTTCTGCACTTTGAGCGGGAAACACCTACAAATGCATATTTATTGAATGCAATGGAGCAGTGACCACCCTATTTCTACTAAAGAGGCACTAAAGAGCCGCTGCCCCATTTAGTAAATCACAATAACAAAATCACTTTTTAAACACAAAGCATGATCTGCCCCCTGAATGTGTAATTGTATAAAACAGATAAAAAGAATGATTAAGTAAATAATGCAAAAGTGGTGGTAAACGAAAGGAATGTGATACTTTTTTAAATGCAAAAATGAAACAAAAAGATATTGACTGAGTGGAAATGTTTTGCAGAGTGAGAGTTTCTGCTTTTAGTTCCAGGATGACTGTAATGAGCTTAAATCAGCTACTGGACTTCAGACAAACATAATACTGTCCTGTGAGAATGATGAGCTTTCACCATTCACATAAGTTCAGCCAAAGGTTTCTGAGAGAACGCACACATGCAAGCACTTGTGAGTGGGTGGAAAAGCCAACTAACTGTAAGGCTGGACACTCCTTCACATTTCAGAGAGAAAATAAAAAGCTTCTGATAACTGGACAAAACCGTACTACATGAGAAGATATTAGTATTACTTATGCAATGTTAATGACCAGCATTGTGATCACTGGGAGTCTGGAGGGGATAGATTATGAAACATTGCTGCTCTAGTTTAGTCAATAAGGGCAAGCTGGGGCCTTTGTAACTTAATAACCAGACCTTCTGTCCAATCAAAAAGTCTGGTGCAGAATACCAAAGTAGGTCAGGCACAAACACAAAACTCACGCCCCTTTTTCCTTTGAGACCACATGGAGGTGGCGCCATGTCCACCAATCAGATTAGGCAATGCATTTCCAGGGCTAACTGGTCTGACATTGGGCGACTGTGAAGTCCCTCTCTGATCAATGACGAATGCCCATACGTTTATGTAGTTAAGCCGTTAAGCTCAAAAAGACCATCTGACGCCTGGACACCTCAGAGCGAGTGCCGTTTTGATTAAGGCAAATGCTGTGTTGGTGTGAAATCATGTCTAAAGGCGTTGCTTAGTGAAACTTGGTTTCCTGGTGAGAATATTTTATCTTCCAAAAAATAAAACTGTAGGAAAAACATTAGTCAGTGGTTCAGTGCTTTCCAGACTCAGTCTGGGGGGACCAATGCTTTTGTAGCCCAGTTTCATTTCTTATTTTTACCCCTAACCCTTGTTTTGAGTGTCACCTTGCCCCTTAGAACTGAGTTATAAGGGGTAGTGGTTGAAATCTTCCTTATGAAATGGGACCCTCAAATAAAGAACATTACTTCATTAACAGGCTACTAGTGCTGCTCTGTAGGCGACCCTGCCAGTCTGCAGTGACAGCAGAGGAGGGTAAAGTTCAGCAACCTCGCTGCTGAGCTTTAGTTACATTTAGGGAATCATATGCCTTCAAAAGGAAGGATATTTATTAATTATCGCTCCTAATTCTTCAGTGATATGAAGCTGAAGTCAGCTATTCGACAGCTTCTCTTTAGAATGTTCTCGTTCCACCTTAAATGGAGCAGCAATTACATTCTGGCTACAGCGACATAGCTAGCTAGCAACAGAGACATTAGCATATTATTTTTCATGCTTGTTATGAAGAAAAGGCCCATAATACATTAAACTAAGATAATATAACGGTTATCGTAATTTCTTAACACAGAAAATACTCACATTTGTGGGTGTCTTTGGTCACTTGTGCAGCCATCTTGCCTTGTTTTTGTTTTTTTCTCATAACACACCATTTTGAAAAACCTCCCTTTGGAGGGCCATGTAGCCCTAACACTTCACTCTATCTCAACAAGAATCGGGACACCCTACCCCTAGACGTGAACACGCAAAACAGAGGCCTACGTGTTAGGGGTGAGGGGTGAAATGGGATGGGGCTTGGGTCTTCCCTGACCCTGTCTCAACCCATGAAAAGATTGGCAGTTATCCTATGAACTAGAGCTGCATGATATGGACTAAGTATCATATTGCAATTAGACTGCTGTAGACTGCAATTTTAAAGTTTCTTGCGCCATATAAACACACAAGTGAGTCCTTGTTGTTGTTAAAGCTTGGCATGCATTTTGGACCAAAATGTTGAAGTTGATTGGATCATGTGAAAGTCTTAATGCGTCCAAACATCTATATTTATAGAAATGCATCTGGATTATTGTCATTGATTTAGATACTCTGAAACAAGTAAGCGACTGGTTAAGAGGCTCATCTGCATATAGCAACTTTTATTACAAAGGCCACTGCAATAAAGATTACAATGAAATACTGTGCAGAGTTGTGACTTGAATTAAGCATTTAAGGGAAAACAGACAGAAATATGGTACCTACAGAAGCAATATTGAAAATAATTTTAATTTAATGAAGGGCACAGATTGTACTGCACAACTTATAATGCATTTTTGGCATGATCCACGCAGAAGCTGTCATTAGCCACTGATGTAGAACCAGTTTCCCAGCCAAAAAGATGAACCGTTCCAAAATAGGAAGAAGAAAAACTGGTCTGACACTTCCTGTCACCCACCTTGCTCCAGCTGCAGTGGTCTTCCACGCTGTCTATGGACAGAGCGATCATCTTCACATCACGCTTCTTGAACTCACTGCTGAGCCTAGCAGCAGTAGCAAGCTCAGTCGTGCACACTGGGGTGAAGTCGCGTGGGTGAGAGAACAAGATGCCCCATCTAAAAAAAACAGGAAAAGCAGAACAGAGTCAGTTAAAACTGTTCAGACTGACTGAGTATTGTGATAAGCACAGCAGCAGAAAAGCACATTGCTGCACAGGAAATTCCTGCTGACTTGTTCTCAGGCTGAAGCAACAGCTGGCCATAACTTGAGCAAACAGACGCATCATAAACTACACAACGGCTGCATCTGGAGAGTCTGGCTCCATAACCTGTAATTCATTACAGAGCTGAATGGCATGATCAAATTCAATACTGCACAATACAAGACATAAAATTATAATGCCACCCCACCCTGAACTTATTTCTCAGCAAGTCAGTCCTTTTACTTAAGAGAAAGGATAATAAAAAGCAACAGCACACAGACACATTGATATTTTGTCCTGTCGTTTTATTTTGAAAAGACTAACACACTAAATTAATTGATTTAAAGTGATATTGGTTTTATGTAAGAAAATATTCTGTTACAAAAATGACTAACTAAAAAATGCAGTTTGCATAAGGACAACGGTCCTTGACTTGTGATTCATATTATATTAAATCCCTTTTCTGGATAGAAGACCCCCTTAATTCAAGTACTAAGTTGTGAAAATGAAGACCAAACAGCATTCTAAGGCAATTTAAGAATTTAAGATAAAGTTAGAGAAATGGAAGAAGCTACAAAATAATATACAAGTGTTTGGATATCCCTGTTGGATGAGTTGGCGTCAGAGCAACAAGGAGACTCTGTGAGGAAAGCCACGGAGAGGCCAACAATCACTCTGAAGGAGTTAAAGAATTCAGTGGCTGACACTGAGGTGAAGGTACACCAGTCACTGATATCAAAATCTTGACATGCAACTGGCCTGTATAGGAGAGCAGAAATACCACGTCACAGCACGTATGGAGTTTTCCAGAAAGTGACCCAGCTAAAATACAGGATATGGTCTGTGGTCAGATAAGACAAAAATGAAGCTTTTTTTTGGCCAAAATTCAAGATAATATTGTGGCGCAAACCTAACACTGCCCATCTACAAACATCATCCCAACACTGAAGTATGAGGGTGGCAGCATCTTGGTGTGGTGATGCTTTTCCTCAGTGGAGACTGGCCCCCGGGGTTAAACTGAAGAAAAGATGGATGGTGGAAAAACAGGAAGATCCTGAAAGACTTGAGAGAAACCTTTCAGCAGAGCCATGATCCTAGGCACAAGGCCAAAGCAATGCAAGAGTGGTTGAGCAACAATAAGATGGATGTTTTACAAAAGCCAAGACCAATCCAACACAGAATCTGTGGCACTATTTCACTATTTTTTAAAGATCTGCCAACATAATGAAATTTTACTTTTAAAATGTACTTTAAGAACATATATATCTGCAAATAAATATAATAAATACTGGCTGTAACAATCTGTGCAAATGTAATGAATCTGATGACTTAAGGGGGTTGAATACTTTTTTTGCAAGGCGCTGTAACTCAGTCATCTATATGTCAATGTTTAAGATCACTCCAAAATCAAAAACCCAAAAAGGTCAGAACTTTGTCAACAGAGACATGCTAACTTGTGATGAATCGTGTGATTCTCTCATCCTTCACATGACTGAGCTATGAATACTAGGAGGAATTATCTAGGTTAAGTGTGGGAGTGTGTCTTTCTCTCTACTCTTCCTTCTAGAGAATGAACCCAATAACACCATCCTAGCATACTGGACAATGTTCAAAATATCAGCACCTATCAAAATGAAATTATCTATTGAACATACATCAATCAAATGCCTTATCAACAGAAGTGCATTAGTGAGCAATGTCGGATTCTGGGCGCTCCACAGGATCAGATAAAGTTGTGCTAGTGCCTAAATGCTGAACTTTCCCCAGGCTCTACTGAAACAGTGTAAATATGGTGAGTGCAAAACTGAGGCTCCTCTTCACCAAATCCAAACAAGGCAGCCCTGTTTTCTGCAACTCACTGTGACTTTGCAACCTGACGCTCCACTGAAATCCTACTTACTGTTAAAAGACAAGAGCCGTTTGGGTTTTTTTTCCCTGGGAAACTAACATTTTGGTTCAACCTGATTTGATCTTGTTCTTAAAGCGCAGCGGCTAATAGGGGAGCACGAATCTCAACAAGTTATGAACTCAAAATATTAAAAATCAGCGCCCTCTTCAGAGGACAAACACACAACACAGCACGACTTGGAGACAGAATAACTCATTTAAAACTGTGGCAAGGGCACTTTAAACTACTTCAACGGCAATGTGTGATGTTTAAACTGTTAAACTGAAGGTTACGGGTGATAAACCTCCACACCACAGTATTAAAACACGGGGCCAGCCACCAAAGACAGATCTCTCACAAAGCTTTTCCTCTCTGCAGCTGCAGCCACGTAGCTCCAAAATACATTTACTTGGCTAACTAACCTATATACACATGCACGAATACAAACGTATGAATCGGTCGGTGTTCGTCTGTGAGGAGTTTCAGCTATTTCGTCTATCGTTAATGTTTGAAGTATCAAAACAGAAGAGTGTCCAGAGTCCACGAGGTGTCGACACAGTGGAGAGTAGGCTAACGCTAGCTGGTTAAGAGTTAGCTAAGTTAACTACATCACTGCTCTGAGTGGGGAGGGGCATTTCCAGGCTATGCTAGGCTATCCGTGTTGTCTTATACTCGTTTATTGTGATAATTTCCCACGCTTACTTCATGAAAACTTCTGCAGCTCTAAAGGTGTAAGAATAATACGAGTTAGCCCGCTAGGCTAACTGTTAGCTGTCAGCACTCAGCAGGCCTGACGTAACGTTTGCGCATTTGCAAAGCCAGGTGAACCACAAACTCAGGTGAGGGGTCTATCTACCTTTAACGGCTGGTACTTACGAGTTACCCAGGAATTCGTGAAACTTTATCTTCCCGGTCGATGTGTTCGCTTCGAAGTCAGGAAAAACGTCTCCGAGCAGAAGCCCCGGCATGTCTCCGTCTCCTCTGAACAGCAGTGTGAGAGCGGACTGACACCGAAACACGCACGCAGTCAGCCGTATGAACGGAGTGGGAGAGGCTGAGGAAGCCAATCAGCCTCCAGACCTCTAGAGCAAGGAGGCAAATCCAGGCCTCAGATTGGTGATCTCTGCTCAGACATACCTCCTGTGATCAATACTTCATGTGCAATACACTGTGTGCAATATTGCATGCGCAGTTCATGTAAAATATCCTCAGTGTAAGGATATATAAATATAATAGAATTTATGTGAAGCATAGAGTTTATATTTTTATCTTAGATTTTTTATCTTTAGGTTTATATACATATATATATATATATATATATATATATATATATATATATATACACACACATTGTCTACATATACACCAATAAGTAACAAACTGTAACCTTATGTAATTAACAAGGTTAATAACTTTGTTAATTCTCTTCTTGTTACTGTTCTTGAGTGCTTTGATGTCCCTTTGCTGCTGTTTCACTGTGAATTTCTCTGTTGTGGGACTAATAAAGGATTATCTTATCTCATCTTATCTTATCTTATCCTACCTTATACCTGTAATTGCTTGGTTAAATCAGGTGTGTCTGAGCAGTAAAATCACCAAAGAGCTGGACTCTGGCCCTCAGAGACTAAAACTGGACACTCATTTTCCCTGCAGACTGGATTGACTTCACCATATTAAATCAGATTATTATGTTTCTTGTAAGAATGCACAATAACACACAAGGCAAACCACACGTGCTTCAGGATCCTGGTCAACAGACAACGTCAAGCTGCATCACTGATGTTGATGTTGTAGTGTCAAATCAGAAGAAGACGCAGAAAACATAGTGCGTTTAGGTGAATGGTGCTTTATTTTGAACAAGGAATTCAACAGACAGTAAGACATGACTAACTCAGTGCTACCCCAACAGGAAATACTGGGAGGGGGTAATGCGGGAAAACACGACATTTGAGGAGGGTAGGCACACTGTAAACCCACCCTCTTTGTCAATCACTACAAATAAATGAATAACGCTAACAGCAACACAACATCATCAACAACGTCTCTTTTTAGGCCGGGAGTGTGAAATGGCTCCCAGGAGCCATTTCGCCCAGCCACACCCCTTAAGCTCCTCACAGCAGCACAGAGCTGTGGCAGAGGCCACAATAGAACCTGTATTTTTAACAACCTTTGAACGTAAACCGTTTTTGTTCTCTTTTTCCGACTTTCTATAATCCTGCATTTGAAACTACTTTGAAATGTTAAGATTGGCATGACTACTACTAATTAATAACAAGTGTTTTACGTGTTTTGATTCAGTTGAATTTGCCCTCTTGCACTCCAGTTGGCTGGTTTAATTTCCCTCCTGAAATCTTACTGGCTAATTAAATTTTGAGTCCTTCTGTGTGATTGGCTAGTTTACCTCCTGTGATCTTCTTTGCTAGTTGAATCTTTAATTTTGCACAGTGTTAGCTAGTTGTATGTTAACCATTGGCTAGTTAAACTTTATCTCCTGATATCTTTTTGGCTAACTGGATGTGCAATCCCAAAGTCTGGTTGGCTGGTTGAATTTCCCTCCTGCAATCTGGCTGGCTAATTAAAATTTCAGTCCTGCTATGTGATTGGCTTGTAACTCCTCTGATCTGATTGGCTAGTTGAACTTAGTGTCTGATTGGTTAGCTACATTTGCAATCCCACAATCAGATTGACTAGTTGAATTTTGTCTTCTCTCTCACTTTCAGTAGCCACTTATCCTGCTGGGCAGACAGTGTTATTTAGTCAATCCTTGTATTAACCATATAATTGGATTTGTGAACCATTACATACATTGTTTTATCAAGAAAGTATCTGGAGTATTTAAAAGTTTTCTGTTGACTGGTTCCCTTTTAATATACAGTCAGGTCCAAAAGTCTGAGACCACTGGTGAAAATGCCTATATTTTGCATTCCCTTCTAAAATAATACAGAGGGATTTTTTAGTTACAAATAATATTATTAGCATAATGCGACTGAAAGTAGAATCCTTGAACGTTTATATGAATTTCAGAATTTCTTAGTATTTGTTATGTTCTTTTGCTTTAATGACTGTGCACTCAAGCTGCCATGGACTCCATACGTTTGGGCAAAAGTCTCTGATGAGTAGATTAAATCCAGCAAATTTGCCTCAGTTTGAATAGTGACCTACAAATAATGCAGAATCTTGAATATTTCTTCTTCATTTTATTTGTCAGAACTTTTCTTTGTTTTATTTTAGTTGCAGATTTGAATGAAGAAATCCCAGATTGGGGAATCCCAGTGGTCTGAGACTTTTAGACCCCACTGGATTTTTCTCTTTGATTCAGTTTATCTATCACTGCTTTTGAATGCCTGCTAATTTGTTATTGCATCCATGTAATAACTGGAGAACATGAAATAGAAAATTCAGCATTCAGAAGTCAGTGCGTCTCCAGTAAGACAACTTGTTGCACTGTATTCGCCTCCCGAGACATAATTGTTAACTGTTTTATTAATTAACTGTCTTTTTATCTCCAAATTTTCAGTGTACAAACAGCTTAGCGTCAAAATTGGTCACGTGACGTGATCCGTCACCGCTCTGGGCTGCTGCGCGGATTTTCCCAAGGTGCATTGCGAAAGATGGCTGGTCTCAGTAACGCAGCTGGACGTGCGCGCAGGTCTCGCCTGTAGAGAGATGGACTGAAACCTGTAACCGACACCTCACTGACAGTGTTTTTAACGACAGCGACCGCAGCGAGCTCGACTCTGTGCTACAGTGGAGGAAATGCCTTCTCCGAAAGCCAGAAGCGGCGGTGTGGGCGGGAGCAGCGGGCGGTATGAGTTTATGTCCCTGAGCCGCTCGCCTCCTCCGCCGGCTCTGCAGCGCCAGGGCTCGGACCCCACAGCGGCGCGCCTGCGGGCGGCGGACAGCCCGACCCGGCGGAGGGGCTCCGGCTCCTCCACCGCCTCCACGTCCTCCACCGGCGGACAGCAGCTGCCGGAAGAAGACTGTATGCGGTTGAACCCGTCCATTCTCGGCATAGCGCTCAGCTCCCTGCTCGCCATAGACCTGTGGCTGTCCAAGCGACTCGGCGTGTGTGCCTGCGAGGACTCATCATGGGGAAGCGTCCGGCCGTTAATGAAGCTGGTCGAGGTCTCCGGACACGGAATACCGTGGCTGGTCGGTGCCGCGTACTGTTTATACAAGAGCGACAGCGCCGCGGGGCAGGAGGTCATGCTCAACCTGCTCATGGGTAATGTAGTCCAACCTCTCCTGTGACTTTTTCCTATTACAGTATCTCTTTTTCTTCCTGTCTGAACTGCCCTGATCAAACATTACCCTTTGTACTGAAGGACTAAAGGCTCTCCATGTTTCATTCTGTGACCCAGGCATATCCATGATTCAGCCTCCTTACAGTTATGAATCCACTTCTATTCATCTCACACTGCTTCCTCACTAACTCGTTCCCTTCTTCCTGGTCCTCTTTCGGCCTCCTGTTCATCGTATCTGTAACGCAGTGAGTCATCAGCTTGATTTTTGTGTGTGAAATAACTTTCTAGCTACCTGCTCGATGCATCAGCTGTAATCGAAGGTGACATTATCCTGACCATCATCCCAATTTATCCTGACTCTTAGCAGGTCTCTTAAAGGTTCAAGAGTGTCACGGTTCCCCAACCAATTTCCTGATTGTGGTGATGTCATTGTCCTTACAGCACTGTGACCACGACTTTGGTTTAATACTACATATGCTTACATCAGCAATTTTCTAGACCACTTTGACAGCAAGCTGTTATCGGCCAATTTGTTCGCCACTGTGGAGTGGCGCAGGTACGCGAAACCTGGCAAGGCCGTTTGATCCAGTTCCATCGGGTCAGAGTAATCCGTCACTGCAGGGCTTTTGCAGCACTGTATCATTCCCTATTTGTTAGAGAAGAGAAGAGTAGTAAGAGACACCCCCCAAAACAGAGGCCACAGAGAAGCATAGGCATCAGGTGGTCTTATGCCCATCAGGTCTGTGCCTTTAAAGCCACTCTTGTCTTTATAACCATTTTCTTCCTTGGGGTGGATTGTGCCCTGCCGTGCTGTGACAGTGGTACTCACACATGGTCCGTACAGAAACTAATTTAAGTACATTTAAGTGTTTTTCCTCATACTGTGGAGCATATTTTATTTATATTACTTTTTGACCAGTAATAATGTCATTCTCTCATCTGATTCTCATATCAGTCTGCACAAAGCACTGTCTGCTCACAGGGATTACTGTGAATGTGGAAGAACAGTGCATCAAATTGATTGCTGACAGACTATGACAATAATACAATGGCATTTGTAAAAGGAGAAGTAGGCCAGGCATAGAAAAGCAATATCTTTGCAGTGTGTATGCTTTTTAATGTGCACCAATTAGCTTTATGTTTTTAATAAAAGGTAGTTGAATGTATTTAGCTTCACAAGGAAGGGCCATCTCTCAACTCAGGTAGCCTAAATGTTTTAAGTGTCTCTATGACTTTGCTAGGAACATTAAAAATACATGAGCCTCATGGCAGTTCAGTCCACCCTGCAAGTTGTTAACAGGCCTGTCCCTGCACTATTTCGGTCTTCTTTTCTCCCTTTTCTCCCTTCCTGTCTGTGTGAGTGTCTGTTTCTAATGTGCCAGTCCTGCTGCTACTCTTAAAACAGCCCATCAGAGACACTGCAGACAGCTGGCCCACTACAGAGAAGCATGTAACAAGGGCTAGAGGCATAGATGTGTAGGAAAGACAGATAGAAGAACGGCCGTTAGGGAAAGTGATGGTGAGAGAGCGAGTGAGTCATTATGGTTGTCTCTCTTTGTCTGTCTGTCTCTCTCTGTCTGGTTAACTCTGTCTCTTTCTATGTCTGTCTTTCTCTTGTGAGGAGACAAGACAAAAGAGTTCAGTATAAGTGTTACCTCCACAGGGATGAAAGTGCTGCTCTACGCTGCCAGCCTGACTGCACATTAGGCATGGAGCCAAAACTTTGTATTGTACCTCACAGCTATATGTGTGTTTGAATGTGTGTGTGTGTGTTTGTGTGTATGTGTGAGAGAGAGAGAGAAAATATCAACCCAATTAAGCTGCCCTAATCCATATTAGCGATATTAGCTGTATGTCTTCTTTTAGAAAAAGTATTTTTCCTTGGTAATTCTGAAATACAGTTAATAGGCCATGTATTCCAAGCATCAGCTCCCTTATCATCATCTTGATCATTGTTTCTTATGCTGCCTTCAAGTCGTGTCGGAAGTATCGTATTTACGAGATGGATGCACATGAACGGCACCACAGTGTCGTATTTACTAGTGGGAAACTCTGATTTTTCAGTGAGCCCCGAGTTTCTGAGTTGGGGGCGTGTCAACAAAAACCCAATGACAGCCGCTGATAAACTGGCAGTAGTTCAGTTTCAGTCATTCATCAGCCACAACATTAACACTGCAGGCTAAAACCATCCACACATGGAAATATAGATATAATGTGTATATATAAACTCTCTTTAATAAAAGAAAATTAAAAGTAAACCGACAACATTATTTCCACTTATTTCCAACCAAAACCACTTGAACACAAATCTAGTCGTACTTACGACCTCCGAAGTCGTAAGTAGGAACTTCCAAGGAGAACTTGAAGGCAGGATTAATCCTGCATGCTTTTAAGGGATCCTTGACTAATCACACCTGATACAGGTCATTAACTGATTATGGAGCTCTTCATGAGCAGGATCATAATGGGGCAGCAAATAGTGAAACTCTGCAGTGCTGTGGGTCACCAGGAGCAGGATTAAGAGACAGTGCTCTTTTATGATTAGGCCTATATTAATTATTTCATGTTTCACGTACGTGCAGGAGGTTTAGAAAGCCTGCGGTGCTGCCAAGGTTTGGCACTGACATATAACTGAAATATAAATAAATGTCACAACAGATACGAAGAAGCGCTACAGAGGTCACAAAAATGAGGCAAAAAGACAGGTGCTCTTGGGGCATGGGTGCAGAAAACTAAAAAAATAATTTGAATTTATATATATTTTTTTATATTATTTGAATCTGTTAAGGAGCAAATGTTATTTATGTTATGACTTTGGCTGAAACTAAGTACTGGAAATGTACTAGTGGGTTTAATGGATCAGTATAGCCCACACAGTGTGAACAAAAAATAAATAAAAAATAAAAAAATAACAAAAATCAGCCACTCAAATCTGCAATCGGTCATAAAAATTAATGATGGTTGCATTCCTAGATATCAGTATGCTTGTTGGTGGAACACTGCCTTCATCAGTCCTAACATAGTTCTAAGAATGGCGATAGAAGAGTACTAGTATTTCTCCAAAAAAACAATTGTTCATAAAATGCAGAGGACAGTTTAGAATGTTTCACATCTGATGATGCAAAGACAATACAAAGGAGTTCTATTCAGTGTGGTTCTCTCTCTCTTTCTCTCTTTCACTCTCAGCTTTGGTGTTGGACCTAGTGCTGGTGGCCATAGTTAAAGCCGTGGTGCGTCGCCGACGTCCCGCCCATAACCGCATGGACATGTTTGCCACATTCTCAGTGGACCGTTACTCCTTCCCGTCAGGCCACGCCACTCGTGCCGCTATGTGTGCCCGCTTCCTGCTGGCTCACCTCGTCCTGGCCGCCCCACTCCGTGTTCTCGTCCTGCTCTGGGCAGCCTTCGTGGGTTTCTCCCGGGTCCTCCTCGGACGCCATAATGTGACGGACGTAGCATTCGGCTTCTTCATGGGCTACTGCCAATACAACCTGGTGGAGGCACTGTGGTTGTCACCTGTCATGCTGCAAAGCATGGTGGGACAGCTGGAGTGAAACGCAGGTGGGCTGGGGTAGAAAACAGTAAAGAGAGTCCTTTCCAGAAAAGTAAACTTCTGACTGTTTGAGGACCTCGTTTGAGAGTTTGAAATAACTGGGCTGTTGCTGGCCTTTTGGTAGTAATATATCATGTCATGTCTTGTTATTTGTGAGTTTTGAAAAGTGTCAGTCTACTAAATAAATATAAATGTATTGTTTAGTCATTCATCTGCAAGGTGGGTCCAAGGGGAACCTTATTGAATCAGGTATTTTAATAATAATTGTTCGGAGGTTTAGAAAAAAAATTGATTTGATGAGTTGAGGACAGGGTCAACAGTCTTATCTGCTAAGAGCCAGTGTGGTTGCAGGCTTTTCTTCTGACCAATAAAACACCTAATCTCACATAACTAATCAGTCAAGTCCAACTGCTTAAATATGAGGAATCAGCTTGATTTGAATAAAAACCTGCTTCCAAACAAGCACTTTGTGGATAAGATTGAAGACCTTTGTATCAACAGAAAGGATGACCTGTATTTTTTGATGCTGCTGTGTGACATCACTGTTTGTTCACCATCACCTACAAAAAAAGGCAACTTCTCAAAAGCAGCTTGAGCCTTGAGAAGAGTTTAAAATCAATAACAGCGTACTTGCAAGTCTAGCCATGTAAACATGTTGTCTTTCTCCATTTGCACTTAACACCTGCCAGACATTTTGCTGTATTTTTTACAAAATTGATGTAGAGAACAAAAGATCTGATGAGGAAGCAAAAGATCTGATGTTCATTATTTGAATGTTTAAATATGGTGACGGGGACCCGTATGTTAAATATCGTGTAGTGTTTCGTTTTTTTCTAACAAAAGGATTTGGGGTCATGCAGGGCGCCTCAGCCACTGTCCTTTCTACAGAGAAAGCTGTTGAGCCATACTGTGCCCATGTGGGACCACTAATGATTTATGAAGCAGGCTATTTTATTTTTCATTCATATTTTATGCTTCTTCTTGTCTCACTGGAATGTCTAAAGTTCATTTGGCATTTCTAAAGCCATGAACAGTCTTTTAAATTGAAATTACTTTTTACAGTTTTTACACTTCCATCCAGCTTTGCCTTTTTCATATCTTTGTATGGCAGGTTTTTTAAATGGATCTTGGTCACAGCTGTGAGAGAATTTATTTCACAGTTGTTTCTCAAAATGAGAGTTGAAGTTTGTTGTTTTTTTTCCATAACAATAAGATGTGACTGTTGAACAAAGTTCCCTTAATTTTTTGTGTGAATGTGTACTGATTTGCTGAAATAAGAAGTCTTGTTATGTATGCATGCACTTGAGTAAAGATAAGGCGATGTGATTGTCTTTCAGTCCTTTGGCGCAGGAGTGGGCAATATGGCGATATTACATCATAAGTTAGTATACGCAATGCTGCACTTTTCTGATCTTATTATAGATACTATCTGTGCTTCCACAACACTGGCCAACTGCATGTGTGATTCAAAATAGGTTTACACTGCAACAATGCAGGTTCAGCAGTGGCCTCTTACTCAGAAAACCTTCGAGATACAGGTAATAACCAATTAGAGTGGATGTTTTAGATTACAGCTGTCTCACCTACAACACAAGCAGAGCTTTCACACTGCACAAGTCTGTCCCAAATGCATGTGTTCAAACTAAGCACCCTCGAGATTTCTTGCCCTACAGGTGTGAACATTACTGATGCCACCAGAGTGTGGAGATTGAGGAAAACCCCAGTGCCGTTTGGGACTGGGCTACAGTGTCATTGATTCTTATGAAACATCAATAGATATGACTGCCAATGGTGCCCCCTTGTGGAGAAATGTCAGCTTGCTAAATGTGAGAATATTTGTACTGTTGCATTTTGTTGCAAGCAATTCATCAGACCCCAAAAGAACATCCTAGCTATTGTGATGCATGTTGTGAAGATGTCTTCAAGTAATGTGACGTTATACGTATGCCGTATTGCCCACTCCATCTTTAGCATTATATAGAATACCTGAAGATCAGAACTAATGATGGAGCTACTGCTGGATTATAGATCTTTTTATTGCACTTTTATTAATGTTATTCTGTTACTGGGGAAGAGTACTGTGAGTAATTTGGTTGAGCACTTTGCACTGGAGTCACAAAAAAGTCTGTTTTATAGAGGTGCTACGTTTGTTAGTGTTGGTTTTTCAACTTGACAGCACCGTGTAAGGCCTTAGCTATAGAAATAGGTCTAATTTCATTTTAGCAGTGTGTGTGTGTGTGTTTGAGAGAAATAGAAAGACACGCACAATTTTATACCCCTCAGGCTGGAGCAATATTAAGAACCTTCTCCCACATTGATAATTTAGCAGAGGAGCAGTTCAGTGATGCTCTCGTTCTCCCCAAAGCCATAAAAAAATGAAGCATTTAATTACAGCCTCTTTATATCTCCCTTCACTGTCATAGAACACACATCACACCATCTGTGGCTCTCAGACCCCTGTCCTCTCCTCGTTTCTCTTTTTCCCTTTCTGTCCCTTCTGCTCCTTCTCGCTTTCTCCACCTCTGCATTCCTCATTTCCAGCTGCAGGATGCATTAGCTTATGTAACGTTTCAGATGCTGCTGTTGGGGTCGACCAGTTACAGTGTGGTCATTTAACAGCAAACCTTACTGAACACTAAAGAGCATAGTATGCTATCTGTGTAACGTATCTAGTAGAGAGGTAACCTGTTGCCTTTGTGATGGTGCATGTCTTCAGTGGAAAGTCATTCCTGTTGATGTGTTTGTGGTGATTTTGACTATTTTGTCTTCTTTTTGGCAATAACAGATATTTCCATTACTCAGTCAATCATTGGTTCTGCAGTATGAGAGGAAGAAAAAAACAAAGGCTCACCAAAGGTTTATTGTTCTCTTTGAATTGCAATAATTTATGTGGTGTTTTCCAGTGGAGAGTATCAGTTGAGATTTAGGGCCTGTTTCCACATACCTAAGAATGCTGTTTCTGAATCAGTCTTGCTGTTAAAACTGCTGTAGCTGTAACCAGTTCAGACTGCAACTTATCTGATCCCAGATCAGCGTCCCTATCCTGTGACGCACAGGTTCCCAGTTTTGGTCCCAGAGGACCCCTGTCCTGCACATTATAGTGTTTTTCTGCTCTAACGCACCCACTCCAGTTCCTCAAGGGCTCGTTAATTAGTTCTTTAGTTGGATTAAGTGTATTGGGAGCAGAAAGCACACTAAAATATGCAGTTCAAGGCTACACCAGGGTTAGGAACCAGTGCTTTGATGCTTTGTGAATAGAGACATAGGGGTAATTCACATAGCAGAATTTCTCAGTTTAGCTGGATAACTTGTGCAAAACATAAGGATTGTCCAGCTGCAATATCTTTTATGTCTTATACTGCTCAAGTGTGACTTTTGACTGAAGTTAACTGGCTAACTGAGAAATCATGCTTTGTGAAAGTGTTTTTAATATGACTTCATCTCTGTGAATCCACCAGCTAATCAAAGTAAATGTAAAAAATATAATCTAGAGTTTGACTGTTGTATAATGTAAAATCACTTACCTACATTAAAAAAAATCCCATAAAGGTATATTGCTAGTATAGAGTGTGATGTGATGTATATTCTGAACTCATGACGTGATTGTATTTTCTAAAATAAACACAGAGATGATGATGTCAAGCTGTCATGTTTTTTTTTCACCATGATTCCCATGAACTTTACGGTAGGTATGGAGAAGACAGTGTTGTTCTCCAAATAGTACCTTTGTCAAGTCATGTGATTAGAAATAGCCTACATAGGAATTCACTGTATCTCATCTGAGCTGCTACTGAAGGTGTAGTAATGATATGATGTATTTCAGTGCTGAAATATCAAAACATATAAAATCTTGTGCTCTTAACGATGTTTTGACCTGCTTCTATAAAGTTACCTTTTCAGAGGTCCAAGGTTTTGCTATAACAGTGACAAACTGTCACTGACAGTTTACAAGTTATGTCTTTTGATGGCTCCTGTTCTGGTGGAGATGACTGGACAGTGATATTTTTAAAATTCCAATACCTAAATAGGACATATTACTGCTTGTTGCTATAGTCTACTGCCCCACACTCCTCTTTCACTGACACTGCAAATAACCTAAAATAGTTTGTAAGCAATTATATAGACACCTTCTAAACTCATATCCTCTCTTAGGCTGTAATGATTACATAATATTATCCAGTCCAGACATTTTTCTCACAAAAAGTGCAAGAAAAGACATCATACAGTCTCACAAAGGCAATGGTCACCAACCCTCCTTCTGGAGATTTAGTTTCCCACAGAATTTTGATTGAACCTGCAACTAACATGCTGACTTCCTCCCCCAGGAGGTGTATGGTAGATCTCCAGGACCTAGGCTGGTGAACACTGTACCTGGAGATGCTGAGAGATTTTGTGTTTTTCAAGGTACAGCAAGCAGAGTACCAGAAGCTCCAAACTAAATCTAGCATAGCCGATGTAGGTTATGAAGGCCTCCAGGGGCATCAGGATTGGACACCCCTGCCTAAATTTTATAGTAATTGAATGTAAAGGTTATAAACCTCCCTTGAAAGAGCAACAGAGGAGAATCCCCTCAAGAACAACAGCAAAAAGCACAACGTGACTGGGGTTGTGTCTCACTCTCACAAAGGCTTGCTAAAGAAGGACTGATATTCTGTCCTCATCTATATCATCTACATTGTTGTGTCTTTTCTGACTAAGATATTATAGTTTGGATTCGTTTCCCCAAATATCCATTTGCCCAGATATTCCTAGTCTTGGACTAAATTGTAGTGCCAGTTGTGAATCACCATTGAAAATTCTTTTTTAGTCTAGGCTTAAGCTTAATCTAGGTCTGGGAAACTGGCCTTTACACTGACAAGAGTAGATCTTAATTTTGCAATAGGGTCTGATGTCCACCTCATCTTCAAATTGGGATGACTCTGAAGGCTTGGTTAACACAGCCAGAAAAAAACTTCATGAAACTTCTCAAATTAGGAGGGTTGACCTACGTTCTGCCCCTCTCAGTAAAGTTCTACTAAATAAAAAACATTTGAATACAGGGCCAGGTCTGTTAAATTTAAAATGAATTAAAACTGGTTATTGTATGGGACTGGTATCAACAACAACCAAGGTTTATAACATTTGTCACTGTCAGAATAAAACCTTGTACCCTTGCAGTTTTGTTATTTTTTTGTATTTCTTTCACATCGTTTGTTTGCTGTTTACAATATGAACAATGTCCACGATAAATGGACCAATAGACATGCTGCAAAATGATTCAGAATCAAATCACGTTACATTAACTTACATTAAGAGTTAAGAATGTTTTTCTCCTGTAAAGTTACTTATTTGGAAATATAGTCTGACAGTAACGATACAATACTGTAGTTACAGTGTGCTCTGAAAATAACGGTGCCTAAAAGGATTCTTTGTGTGATGCTGTAGAAGAATCAGTTTTGGCTTCCTACAAAAAACTTTCAATGGACCACTGTTCACTGCCTTAAGAAAGCTGTTTTATACGTCTAACTAAGCTTATTAACAGCCTATTATTGCTTTAAATGGGTGTGTAAAGTTGTTTCCTGTAAAGCAGGAAAGGCACTAAAATGTGCACAGCAGGTGGTCCCCCAAGAACAGGGTTGAGAAGGCTGGTCGCAGGCAGGTGGGTCCAGTCTTATCCACCAGGGGGCCAGTATTGCTGCAGGTTTTCATTCCAGCAAAGCTGAAGCACACATGATCAGTTCTTTCAAGACTGTCCAATTGTCTAAACAAGTGGAATCGGGTGTGCTCCTGCTTGTATTGTTGGTATGGAAGGAAAACCTGCAGCCACACTGGCGTTTCGCAGATAAGACTGGACACCCCTGATCTAAGGCCAAGTAAAATAAGACCAAACAATGTGTTGCTTTGTCTTATAGCTCCTTTCCTCAAGTAAGCTGAGCTTGCCTGTATTTAGTACCATTGCTTTGAATTCTTCAGCAGACGTGACCACATGCGATACGTTCTATAGAGCTAACCCCACCCCATTTACTTCACCCACCTCCTTTTGTTTTTCCCCACTCCTGCTGTTGTTTTCTCTCTCAGCAGCAGTTTTGGAAAGTGACCATTTCTTAAGCTCTTTGGGAAGAAGAACAGTTATGGTCCAAGACCAACAGAAAGAGTGATTCTGGTGTGGTTTAACAGTGGGCTGCTGCAGGACATGATAGCATGGAGAGGAGATACCAGCAGAGTAAACACAAATGTCAGAAGTGATTGAAAGTGGACTACTAGTATAAGTTCAGATTAAGCAATGATGTTAGCTGATGGCTGGTGTCAGCATTTCATTTCTTACCTACTTCTTCCTCTGTTAAGGTCAAAGTTCTTACAATTGCTTTGATTATGCAACGGGTTCACAGTTCACAGTTTTTTGCAGAAGATACTGAAGGCCTTTGATTGTCATAAGGTAAGAACCGTCACCTCTGTTACTTAGAAATCAGTACTTCTTTAGTACAGTCTTAAATGTAGGGAAATACTGTTGATTTGCATGCAAAAGATTGACTGGCTTTGTGACAAGACTTTTCCTTTGGCTCCAAAAATAGCTGTACTGAAAGGGATATAAATGCAAACCAAGTTTTAGAGGATGCTTGTGTTGTGGTCAATGCAATTTTAGCCATTTCTGTTGTTTTCCATTTGTATAAAAACACTAATTCTGATCGTTGTGTATATAGTATAGTATATTCACTATAATTGTTTGCAATTGTTTAAAAATATTAGTATATATGAATGGACACCACTGTTCCACAATGCACCGCTAAGCAGAAAGGGAGGAGTTACTCACAGCGTCTTTGGAAAACATGAGTGACGCTGAGTTGAGTGTTCATACGGCAGTGAAAAAGAACAGTAAGCTGTTATAAACAGGTGGTTTTTCTTGAGTTCTCCACATAGAAAAACCCTCACTGTGTTTCTATTTGAACAATTATAGTAATTTTCAACTGTCTGCTTCTTAAGTTCTTTGTATCAGGGCAAATATGTGGTTCTGGTCCAACATGGGTGCAGATTTGATCTGTCAAGTGGGGTGGGGGGGGTCTATAGCCTACACTCTTAAAAAAGATGGTTCTTCAAGGGTTCTTTAGTAAAGAAAATGGTTCTATATAGAACCATGAACACTCAAAGAATTTCTAGCATCATTACAGGGTTGTTTGCATCATGAAATGGTTCTTCTGATTGATGGAGAATGTGCTGTAGATGGTTCTATATTGAATCTTTTTGAAATGGGTTCTATATAGCACCAAAAAGGGTTCTTCTATTGTTACAATCTCAAGCTTCTAACATTTTGGTGCTATATAGAACCCATTTTAAAAAGGTTCAATATGGAACCATCTACAGCACATTCTCCATCAATCAGAAGAACACGTTAAATCATGCAAATGGTTATTTGAGTGTTCATGGTTCTAAATGGATCCATTTTCTTTGCCAAAGAACCCTTGAAGAACTTTTTTTTAAGAGTGGATACAGCAATTTATAAACGTAAAACTAGGTGGATTAGCACTACCTTAGTGTCATTATATCTAATGACTTGACTCAGAAACAAGCCATATATATATATATATATATAAAACCATATAATTATTGAATGTAACCTTATAAATTATTGTATAAATTATTGTATCAGAAAAAAGATTATAGTTGCAAACAGTTGATTTATAAATCACATTCAACAAGCAAGATAAATATAAGTATTCCGTTGGCCTTAGCCAGGGGTACAAATTTGGGGGTGCCAACGCTGAGAGACCAAAGCCTACATCCAGCAATTCACACGTAAAACTAGAAGAAAAAGTACACCTGCAGGTAGAGTAACCATATTGTTGTATATCTAATGGCTTGCAAATCCGAAACAAACTCATAAACACAAAAATGTGCAGAGCGTGAGGCAACCAGGACTGGGATTAAGAGCTGGGCTACATATTTTGGAAAAATACTTTGATAACAATAAACATGACATTTGGAAGAAAATACTGTAAGTTTATGTAATAGTATAAATCAACCAGTAATTAAAGTTTGATAAATTAGTGTTGCAAACAATGTAATTTACATCATTTCTAGATTCTGTTGCATCTGATATGCATAAGAACCTTTAATGCAGCTGTGGATCCCAACAGGTGCATCAGTAGTTGATCAGACTCAGGATCTAAGACTGTGTGGCCACTAGTTGGAGTCCAAAGTCTACAAACCCAGAAATATGTGTGTATCAAAAAATGACCCAGAAAACAAGATGAAGACCTACGCCATTTCTACCTTTTTATGTGAACTGGATGGACATTTGATAAATGAGTAACTTATTAGAATATTTTTGTCCACTTGCGGGCATTATTTCAACTTTGACATATTTAAACAACACTGATTGCACCATCGCACAGTGCACAGCAATGGGTCGTACATGCACCCACTCACAGGTATGTACTCCATGTTTTTCACATACAGGTTGATGAGATAAACAAAGTGCTTATAAAAGTATTCACCCCCTTGGAAGTTTTCATGTTGTATTATCACAGAATGTTAAATCACAGTGGAATTAATTTGTTTTGTTTAATTACAAATATAAAATGGTAAGAAGTATCTTCTTGCATAAGTATTTACTCTTATCAAGTCAGTATTTAGTATTTAGATGCACCTACATCTGCATCTACAAATTCTTCTTCTCCCCAGGTTCTTCTTTCAGACTTTCCTCCAGGATTTCCCTGTATTTTGCTCTATTGCTTCCCTGTATTATACTCTATCCTCACAAGCCGTCTAGGGCATCCCCACAGCAAAATACTGCCACCACCATGTTTCATAGTGGGGGTGTTTTTATGATGGTGATGATGATGATGATGATATGGCATTTAGTCTGATGCCCAAAAAGCTTGATTTCGGTCTCATCAGACCATAGAACCTTCTTCCAGCTCTTCAGCTCACTTCAGAGTCTTCCACATGCCTTCTGAGTAAACTCTAGCCAAGAGGCCATCTGAGTGGCTTTCTTTTTTCCTATTTTCCCATAAAGCTCAGGCTACAGTTGTTGTGTCCACAGTCTCTCCAATCTTAGCCACTGAAGCTTGCAACTCTGTCAGATCTCTTGGTCTCTTGGTGAGCTCTCTAACTACTCTTTTTGCATGTTCACTTTGAGGACAGCCTGTTCTTGGCAAACTTACAGTTGTGCCATGCTGTTTCCATTTCTTAAGGATTGATTTAGGTGTACTCCAAGGGGTCTTCAGTGGCTTGGAAATGTTCTTGTATTAATACCCTGACCTGTGCTTTTCAGTCACCTTGTCACAGAGTTACTTAGGTTAAGCCACCATACTGACCTGTTTATACTGTATCCAATCTGATATTTGTAATTTTGTAGAAAATGCAGCCTTACAGTGCAAACTTTGAGTACATTAAAATGAATACATGGTAAAAAAAAAAGACAAGTCAGCTCAACTTAAATTATTTGTGTGCAATACTGCTGGACTATTTAAGGTGGAACGGGAAAGTTAGCTAGCTAGCTACCGAGACATTAGCATGTTATTAGCGATTTTTTATGCTTGTTATAAAGAAAACGACCATAATACATTGTAACAACATTAAACGAAGATAATACAATGGTTATTGTATTTTTTTAACAGAGAAAATACTCACATTTGTGGGTTTCTTTGGTCGCTCGTGCAGCCATCTTGCCGGTTTTTCTTTTTTCTTATGACACCCCATTTGGAGTGAGCCTCTGAAAAACCTCCGTTTGGACGGCCATGTAGCCCTAAGACTTCGCCATACCCCTCCATCTCAACAAAAATTGGGACACCCATACCCCTACACGTGAACATGCAAAACTAAGGGCTAAGTGGAAGGGGCAAGGGGGGAAATGGGATTGGGCCTTAGTTTAGTCAAAAGTTCTCCTAAGTCTTCCCAATGTCTGCTTTCTCAGTTCAGTAAACAAAATGGAATTTGTTGTTTTATACTGTTTCCCTACTAGCTGGAACTCTTTATATCACACAATCCCACGAGGCATTTTCTCCTCTTTGGCTTCTAGATGTGTACAGCTGTGTTTGAGTTGGGTGAACTCTAATGTCCAGGTTTAGTGAACTCAAGAAGAGCTGTGTAATCAGTTGTCTTATATGTAGTACAGCTGACTTTTATTTTTGACAGTCAACCATCTAATTTAGGTAGGATATTCTAGGCTGCTGTTTAGTTTATAATGCTACAGTAAACTCACTACATTCAGGATGTGCGTCAGATAAAAAAAAACTAATACTTTTTCTTTTGCCATATTATAATGTGTTTAATGTGATTCAATTTGCCAGATAAGACCCAGAGATTTTATTGGAGAAAAAGAAAATCGCATTACTGTATTAAAATATGTATTAAAACACATAAATTGATGTGTTGTTATTTGTCTGTGTATAACTAAGACAAAACAATGCTGATGTAAAATATTTGTCATTCATGAGGAGATCATATAATTGAATCAAGTAAATTAAATGCATCCTTACTTCTTCTGCCATGTTCCTCTCTCTCTCTCTATTTTTCTCTCTCTTCATTTGATTTGAGGCTCTAGCAGCATGAGGACCAACAACACAATAAAACTAATAAGTGCTCTTCATCAATATGTCGTAGCTGAAACAGCTTGTTAATAAAAATAATGTACTAATCTAATTCACAATAACCCTACTCACGGTTTGAAATAAATAGCTGCGTTAGCTAGCACAGGCAGGATGCTGGCATTTTATTTATGATTCATTTTATTTCTTCTTATTATTTCTTATTATTAATTTATAATTCATAATTATATTTATTTATTTAATTTGAAATTGTAAAGCATCATTGAGTTTGATAAAAGCGCTGTGTATATTAAAGGACCCCTATTCTACTTTCTTCCTTGTAGTTTTGTTGTTTTCCTGAGGTCCAACTATAAAGTTTGCGTTGTTTTATATACCAAAATCAGTCATAATTGATTTTTACACAAACATTTTTCAACCTCTCTTAATCCCCTAGGATTAAACAGTTTTTTTTTTACTGTGTCTATAAGACTGATATATGTAAATTAGCTCTGTTCAGATTGGTTGTCCTGTATTGCACCTCATTCAAAAAGCAGTCTAGGTGAAACACTCCAAGTGCCAAAGGGTGGAGCTACAGTGCTGTAGTAATTAGCTGATGAGCTGAATCAGGTGTGTTTAATGAGGCAGTGAGTTGGAGTCTGCAGTGTTTTGGCCTGTGAGGACTAGAGCGCACAGAAGACAGGAAACAAACTTGTGTTTTTCTAGCTGTATTCTTCTAACTAAGATATTAATAACTTTTAATGAAAATTAAAGAAAAAAATGTTTTATGCTTATTGGTTTTTATTTATTCTAACGATGTATTCTAATGAGTTTTGACTGGTAAAAACACAATATCCAGATAAATAGTTCAAATCAATTTTATTGCTGCTCTTGACTTGTGAAAAGTCCAAGTCTGACTTCTGACTTTGAACCAGTTCAGTAGAATGATCCATATATCATTGTAAATGGCTTTACTTTTACTATCAAAGTACACTTCAACTAATGCCTTGTGTTTGATTTCATTTTATTGGCACTTTAGACCCAAAAAGTGAAGAACAGAGCCTAACCAGTGATGGGTTACTGACCGAGCCATTTAAGGCCAGAGCCCAGGGACCTCTGACTGCCAGGGGTTCAAGGTGGCCCAAATAAATGAGATTCTGTTTCCAGGCAACTCATGTTTCATACTAGTATTGACTCATGGGATATTGCTGTTGCCATTCAAATGGGCATGTGAGGTTGAGTGATGCAGGGTGGGGTGTGAAGGATAGTAGCACTCTAGGAACAAAATACAAGTCTGAAGACAGACTCAGTAGCAAAAGTTCAACTCCGAGGAACAACCAGAGAACCCCCTTGCACTCACTTTTGGTGCTTGAATATTGAAAGCCCCCTCGCTAGAGTCTAGGCTATACCATTTTGGTTCTGAAGATCTCCCCCTTATACACATTGACACCATAGTTCAGAAAACAAATGTACATTAAAAAAATGTACATGTTCTCTACTTGTGTGCTCCTCCCTTTCAGGACTGCCGTGGATCCTGCTGACGCTTAGAAGAGGATACACACAACAGTGCCACCCTTCAAACAGACACCCAGGTAAGTGTACACATCACATAACATACAAGTAAATTTTGCAATTTGATTTTAACATTTTTGCAGTCCTTAAATGTGGTGCATTTAAGAAATAGTCCTGGTGATCAGGCTGTTTTCTACTATCATCATCATCATCACAGGATGTTATACACGTTGTGTAATAGTGTTTACACAAAAAGCACAAACTTATTCATGTAGACACAAAATGATTTTGCACATATTTCATTGATTTTTAAAACCAAAAGTATACCACTTTCCAGCATTCCTCAAGGAGCTCATAAACATAATCCTCAACTCTCTAATCAGCACCATCAGACTTTAAATTATTAGTTATAGTCATGGTTGGTAAGTAAGAAAGACTGAGGTTTTTAGTTGTTGGAGAAAGAAGCATCCAAATATGATTGGATGACCTTTAACAATTGGCACTTGTTGCACAGACACGTTTCGTGGATAAGCACCATTAAAATAGACAGTGTAGTGACCAGTGATCAAAACGTCTTTGGAATGTGATTGTAACGTGCCAAACAGATCCAGACGCTCGCAGCTGTAAAAGACAAAGGAGGCTTTACTGATAAAATCGCAGTCCAAGGTCGTCGTCACAAAACAGGCGTGGGTCAATTCCAGAAAGCATAATGCTAACCATACACTAGAAGACTTTGAAAAGACTAAAGTCTGACACCCTGTCACACCTAAAGACAGTGTCGCATTTTTTAGTCAGAGACTATGATTTTGCAAAGACTAGGAATCTTGCAGTGTCACTATTTACAAGACTGCAGCTACATTTTTGAGATTAATCCCCATCATGCGCCCGGTGGAAATTTACAAGCAGATAAACACTTTTTCCTTCCACTCTATAGTGGTACAGATGGGAAGATACACTGGCTGGGCAGGTAAAGATCTGGGGCTCAGATTAGTTCACTGTAGAACTGTGTACTCTGGCAGATCATCACACAGAATCTTTTAATTAACCTGTAAAATGTGCAGTTACTTTTTTAATTTGGAGTAAAGATTTACACATCAACACAACATGCAGCGACTCAGCATTGTCGACTGGGTGTCATGAACTAAACCATAAGAAACAAACAAACAAAATAAGAAACCAGTGTAACAGAAAAAAATAGAAAACAGTTGATGATTCTTCAGTAATGGCATTCTTAAAGTCCTCTGCACATTTCCTTACGTGTTACAGGCTCAGTGAACCTGAAACATCAAAACAGTCACTTTACACTTTAAGTTAATATGATTATTGTATTGAATTGCCGTTTTTTTACAGAGATTTCAGTCAGTGACGCCTGCATTCATTCTCTCTCTCTCTCTCTCTCTCCCTCCCTCCGCTCGCAAGCGCGCCCCTGGCACGTCACTATTTGCATGAACCAAGACTTAAAACTTACGATAATATTAAACACGGTTGATTGTGTCGCAGCGTTAAGACGACAAAAAGACTGACTTAAGACCGCCATCTTGACCACCTCATACCAAACGATCGAGATGACGCGACTCTAACAAGACTCTCGTGATTTTATTCCGACGTGGATGTTTGTCTGCGACAGTGAAATCGCTTGAAAAGTCGTTTGGTGTAAGGCCGGCATAAGAAAGACAAAATCACAAACATACACCAGGCGAACAGTCCGAAACGGGAAAGGCAAAAACGTAGTCAAAAATACTGGCAGAAGGTCAAAAGTCCAAAAATCAACAACCAGGCAATCAATCCGAAGGGCAGGGCAAAAAGGGCAAAGTCAAAGAACAAAAGCAGAGGTCAAACACGAGAACCACAGACAGACAAACCCGCTCAGTAGATCTCAGATCGGACACAATACCTCGCAACTTCCCTGATCTAAAGCCCGGGCTAATATACTAAACTATGTTTGTCATATGATGCATAACACAGGTGACACATATTAATATTCGGGAGAGCGAGAGCGCTGATAGGAGCGCGCAGTCATATGAGAAGTCAGGTGAGCTCCCGGAGAGTTCTGGGAGGTTGAGTCCAGATGAGTATCGTGGAAGTCATGTGATCTCCTAGAGGATTCTGAAAGATCGAGTCCGAATCCAGCGAGGCATTCGGAGGATACGTGGCAGTGATGGCCCCACCATGAAACAACAGGTGACAGTGATTTAAAGGACAGTGAACAAAAGGTACTCCCGACTGGACCTCCCTTATCTCCCAGATGTGCATAGCTGGGGATGGCATTAGGAAACCTTGTACTAAGCCCTATTCCCATTCCCTCGGGGGAGTTAACACTGATGTTATATTACGTGTGTATCATAGCATATTTCTGTGTCGTGTGGACTTGTTTTGAGGCATATTGGCCTACGTGGTGTAATGTAATGTAAACATTTGGGTCTATTTAATAGTGTTTACAGATTCTCATCCTACAGTGTTCTCTGGGAGCAGAAGGAGGGGCTTCTGCCCATAAACTATTGTTCCTAGGTGGTTCTTATTACTTTTCTATGTAATGGCCTGTCCTAAAATTAGAATGCATTGATCCCATTGGTTACCTTAGTTTGACCTGTGAAAGGGTTATAAAGGAAGTATTTTTGCAGGTTTGTATTATAGGTATGTTTTTATTTTCACTTTGTTTATCCTCTGTGGTTATTACCTTGTTTAATGTTCTGTAATCATCTTACATGTTGTTTATTAGTTGTTGTTAGTGTAGTTAAAGTGTTTAAGTTTCCTAGATCAAAGTCCTAAATTTCCACATTAATTAAAGTTTACTTTGTTAGGCCTTTTTTAATTGAATGGTAAACCACTGAGTAGTTTACCTTCAGCAGTAATAATCTTCTGTCTGGCTGGTCTGAGTTAGCAAAAGCTACTTTTAAAGCACCCTTTCTTTTACTTACATGAACCACCTGTTAGTGTATCCTAACTAACAGGTCTGAAACTATTCAGACATTACTAATATATTTTATCTTTGTGGAGTCAAATTACAACAATATATTTCCTCATGCATTTAACCTTTGCTGGTCCTGGGAAGCCATCGTTGGGCCAGGCCACCGGGGCAGGGAAAACCAAAAAAAAACAAAAAACAGGAAAGCCTCTGAGATGTGTGGCATCATTGTTTGGAGCAGTTTATCTTAACAGATCAAAGGCTTTAATGTGACTTTCATCTTTGTTACAAAAGAATCAGGATATTTTGATAGGATTTTGATGCTTAATAAATAAGTGGCAAAAATAAATGATGTCATTTTACCATTAAAACAGAAACATTCATTCATCTTCTAAGCTCCTTATCCTCTCGGGTCGCAGGGGGTGCCGGAGCCTATGGTTGTGCTTATTGGGAGGAGCAGGAAATACCCTGGACAGATCACCAGTCCATCACAGGGCACACACAAAGACACATACTCAGTCACAACTAGGGGCAATTTAGTGTCTCCAATTGGCCTGACTTCATGTCTTTCAACTGTGGGAGGAAACCAGAGCACCTGGAGAAAACCAATGCAGACATGAAAGAACATGCAAACTCCACAAATCATGCCACCCCATAACATACTCTCTCCGAGCTCCTCCAACTCTCCTCCAAAGCCTTTCCAGAAGGGTAGAGGCTGTTAAACACTGGATGAGCAGGAGTCAATAAACATTTGGACATACAGTGTATAGTAGAGATACTGTAGAGTGTGTATATATATATATATATATATATATATATATATATATATATATATATATATATATATTTGTTTGTATTATTTGATGTCGTGGAGATGCCGTTATCACGTTATCAGCAACAGGCTATAAGCAATAAGTGAATTTCTTGGTTGTGTGTGGTTTTTAAATCTTCAGTATGGCTCGACGGGTGGCTGTGATCGGAGCAGGCAACGCTGGACTGGCCTGCATTAAATGCTGCCTGGACGAAGGGCTGGAGCCAGTGTGTTTCGAAAGCAGTGATGACATCGGAGGACTCTGGAGGTTTAAGGTGGGATACTGTGCTGGAGTAATGTGGCTATGTGAAGGACACATAGAGAGCATGAATAATGAGAGCCTGTAGGCCAGAGAACCACAGAGCAAACTGCCCTTTGAGATCCAGAAAGTATTGGTTCCCCAGTTAACTAAGCAGTTACTGTACCATCCTGCATAATGTTATGTATAAAATCACAGTGGTCAGAATGATAACCAGTGAGGCATGATGACATAATAATTTATTGAATATGAAAAAGGTACAAGCCATATTTCATTGGCTTCTCTGACATAACACCTCAACCAAACCCAATGAGCCAAGTTTTTTACGAACTCTTTATTCACTTCAGCGGCTTACCTTTGACCCTTTTGACCCTTTTGCCTGCAGCGACGTTACTCACTAAAAGAAAATTCTGGGAATGGAGATGGTTTGAACTGACCTGATCTGACAAGAAAAGAAAGACAGCATTTAACATAAAAAAGCATTATGTAAATAGCATGATAATGCATTTGTGGCTGTTTTTTATGCATAATGAATTGCATTGAGAAAATATACAATATATATACTATGTATCTATGTGTACGTATGATAACTTCAGTACTGAAAATGTATTCATACATGATACCCATTGCACATCTCTTATGTTTTCAGATTACTCTGTTTATTGTACATTTGGTATGTTTTTTCAAAACGAATTTATTAATGGAATAATTAATGAATGGAATTTATGTCGACACCAGCACTATTCTGATTGAAACATGTATGTCTTTATAAGTGTAAAGACAGAATTGACGACTGAGGTAAGAGTAACTAATGCTGTATTTAGTAACTACTGGTTGTATTTATTAAGGTTAGCAGTTAGGATTGGTTGGGCCTCCTGGGATTCCCAGTGGTATAACATATTTGAGAGTACAGTGATGCACGAAAAAGGAAATTGTGAATTTGCCCAAAATGTCTCTTTAAAGAGGAACTCCACCAATTTTTCAAAATCTCTGCACAATTAAATGGTTAAGATGTCAACAGAATCATTCAGAGTGGTTTGGCGTGAAATGCTCTATTCTAGAGAAACTTACTGAGTCAGAATAGTTCACAGTGGTGTTGGTAGGAACCAGATGTCTGAGGAGTTTGATGCAGCTAAAAGCTCCCTCACAGAAAGTTATTACATAAAATGCTTATCAATACTCAACCTGATGTCTGACACATCGTTCTACAATACAAACCTTTGTGGTAATGTTTTGGTCTAAAACGTATTTTAATCATTTTTTTAACCAAGTCATGGTGGAGGGATACATCTCAATCTCAGTGTTTACATCTCAACCACTGAATTCTTGAATATAATGGATGATTCTTCAAGATCACAAGGGAACTTAATATATGAGGGTTTCTTTTTGCTGCTCAAAGTGATGCCATATCCTAAACGCCCTTGGTTATATTTGTTCTTACAGCTGGATCTGATATGTGAGGGGTGTAAAATGTCCCCAAACCTCCAAGTGGTAAAGACACCACTGTTGTTCAGAATCCCACCTGTAATCACAGAATGTGCAGAATTGTAATTCTTTTTTAAGACACTGATTCTCATCAGTCCTGTGGTATTTGTGCTTCATTACATGTGCAGGAGAAACCAGAGGCTGAGCGCTCCAGTATTTACCGCTCGCTGGTGGTGAACACCTCCAAAGAAATGATGTGTTTCAGCGATTTTCCCATGCCAGCACACTACCCAAACTACATGAGCCACTCCCAGCTGCTGCAGTACTTCAGACTCTATGCTGATCACTTTGACCTGCTCAAACACATTCACTTCCAGGTTATCATCTTGGTGTTTTCAAACAACTGTTTACATTCATGAAGCTTGTTTTTTGTTGTTTTGTTTTCATTCGCATATATATCTGCATTATTTGTGCAAGCAAGGTGATTGGGGGTCATCCTACCATTGCAGTGGTAAGCGGGGTAAGATTGTTGATCTGTAATTTAAGTGTAAAACATGGTCTATTAAACTGAGCAGCATAAGTTAACACCACTGACAGTAACACCACTGACAAAATTGCTAAAATCTCAGCTTTTCTAAACTACAGTACACCAACACTTTAGTCACATTGTGTGTAGAAAATTACAAACATTGCATTCATGTTGTTATTTTATTTGAATTTACAATGACTTAAACTTTCATGAGTAACGCCTCTGACACCATCTTTCTGTAACACGTGACTTCTGAGTTAGTTTTCCTTCATTTGGCATATGTGTACAAGAAGTAACTGAAAAGCCCTTCCTTTCTGTAAAAGCATTTTATATATTCTGTAACACCAAAAAATCTTGGAACTAGTTTTATTATCAAAATAAAATTTTATATATTAATAAAAAAAATAATTTTAACATAACACAACATAATAATTGTTCAGCATCTGTGAGGTCAGTCCTATGACTTTCTGTATTTCATGTACAACATGACTAAAAATCCAAAAGGCAAATTATAATATAATAATGTATATTGTATAATAATCATAATAATAACATATATCATTTTTGTTGGTTCATTTAAGAACAGAACAATGAATCCACAGACATCATCTTTCTGAGATTAATTATTATTTTTAACTCATGTTTATGGCTATAAATGTTTTCTATACATTGGTAGAATGACCCTTCTCTTTGACAGTGTGTATTTTGATTGTATTTGGACTAAGTCAAAAATGTCCTGTTTCTCTAGAAACTGTGTGCCAGAATATTTCCAAGTTTTAAATACAGGGAGATTTTAATGTGTGTGTATGTTTCAGACCACAGTGCGCAGTGTGAGGCAGAGGCATGACTTCTCTCAGTCCGGTCAGTGGGAGGTGGTAACTGAGAGCAGCGATGGCCACAAAGAAACACACGTGTTTGACGCTGTGTTTGTGTGTTCTGGGAACTTCACACATCCAGTCACACCTAACTTTCCTGGTATGATCATGCCTTCACCCTTCATCAGTCCACCATATTGGCAGGGTTTGTTCTTTGTTTCCATGCTGCAAATACTCACATACACTATGAGAGCTTAAAGAGATCAATGTTTTATTGTGGTTTTTCAGGCTTGTTATGCCTAAAAGTGGATCAATGAAAAGAGAGTGTCTCTCTTAACCAACTCCAGAGGGATGACAAACGACTGTATATTAATCAGATTTGTCTTTGCGAGGTTCTGGATCCACAACCTCCCAAACGAAACATGGAGTACTGATCTACCTGCTAATGTTACCTCCTCTTTCATTCACAGACCTTTTTCTAGCTGGTTTCTTCCTAGACTGTTCTTTTGAGTGAATTTTGAGTCACAGGAAGCTCATGTACAGTTTACAAATGGTTACTCTGCTCAGTCACTGGCAGGTTTAACTCACTTACTGACAACTTAGTTACTGCAGGTTTTCACTCAGCCACAGGCAGATATGGTGTTATTCACTCAGACAGCATGTTTAACCAGAGAGAAGAGTCACACAATCTTTTATTATCGTTAGTAGTTAGCAAACTAATCACACTACTACTGTGCTGTGCAATACTAACCACTACAAAAATCCACATTAGATCACACAAGGCTTAGGTTGACACTGAAGAGGCAGTCAGCCTGAAGGCTTTAAAAGAAAAAGATAAATAAATTGTCTCACACCTCCCCTGGTCAGCAGCAAAGGAAGTTAATATGCTGGTCACCAGAAAACCTAGCATATCGCTGTTGTTGGGAGAAAACCTTGTATCTCCAAAATGGTAACTTTACAGGAAAAGGAAAAAACATACTTTACTAATGTAAGTCAGTGGAACTTTTCCAAGTCATTTCGGGTCTTTTCTTTTAGTCTATTCTTCATGAAATGTACATACAGTGTAAAGGGTAACAGGCATTTTCAAATTATGTCAAAAACTGAAAAACGACAAAAATGGAGATACGAGTGTGGAGAAGGGGGCGTGGCCGAGCGTCGAATGCAGAACGGAGAAGCTGGTCGGGCTGAACCAGCGGGCTGAGTAGCTGATGAGGTTCACCTGTGCTTCGTGTCTGCCTCCAGTCTCAGCTCCCAGGAGGACTGGATCCCTTCTTCCCCCTCCCCTTCCTGCTCCGAGGAGGTTCGGAGCGCCCCTTCTCTCCCCTCCCAGCCCCACTCCGAGGGGGCTCGGAGCTCCTTCCTTTCCCCTCCCCTCACTGCCGCTGGAGAAATCGCGGAGATCGAGCGAGGACGGCGGGGAGAGAGCCGCGAGTGGGTGTGGGACGGAGTGCAAAGCCCGAGCTCCGCCGAGGGACGCAAGTGCCGGCGGGAGGAGGGTGACGACGGTGCCGGCCACGAGAGGCACGAGGGCGAGGAGAGCCGGTTTATGAGTAGCCTGGCCACTTCCTATTTCCCCCCGTTATATCAAAAACAGGACTGCTGAACAGCAGAGGGCGCCCGCGAGCGAGTCCTCAATGAATGGGAGTAAATGGAGCTCAACGGCTAAAAACAAAAAGTTAAAATAGTTTCTAATCACTCGCCCAGGACGTTTCTCTAATTTTAGAAAGTAGAAGGACGTATTTCCCTAAAAAACTAAGAAATCTTACCTATATATTTCCTTTTTCTACAGCAAACGGGTTTTGGGCAGCAGAAGGCGGGCTTTAGTGCTAGAGCGTGATGATTGATTGGCGAGCGGAGCAGCTCATTGGCTGTTCGCGCTCACAGACGTCATGAACGTACATGAGGCGCTGTTTTAAACTCCTATAACTCGAGTTTAAAAGCTCTTAAAAATATAAGAGCAGTTAAAAGTGTTAAAAAGTTGTATGCTGTTCAGTGTTCAGGTAATGATTGCATTCTTTTACATTAAAAATGTTTAAGCATTTATAAACTATGATTTTGCTCAAATGCTCCATATCAACCCATTCATTTTGGACTCACTCTGGAACGCCCTCTAGCGTTTGAGAAAACCGGAAGACATTGTAGATTGGTAATTCTCCTCTCTACAAGTTCTCTGTCCTGAGCTCCGCCGCCCGGGCCCTGCCCCCTGTTCTGCAGCGAGGCCGCATCACTACACCTCACGTTTGACCCAGGCGGCCGAGCTGCGAGCTGGGGGCGGTGACGAGGAGGCGGAGCAGCAAGCTCTCGTTCCCTGTCGGCTCTGCTGCCATTAATGAGAGCCAGCTGATGCTGATTTGGCTGGCAGCGTGAACGCCTTTTAAAAAGAGTTGAGAGGGAACAGAGCGAGAGAGGGACAAGCAGCAACAACAAGAAGAAGAAGAACAACAACAACAACAACAAGAAGAACAGACTGAGAACCGAGCTGAAAAGCTTACTTTAAAAAGGACTGAAAAGTCTGCTTAGGCCACTGAAAAGTGGCCAGCATAGCTTTAGTTATTTGTTTTTGTTTGCTTTGTGTTTATTTGGGGTGTGAATAAAATATGATTGCTGCAAACGTTTCTCCTGCCTCCAGCGTCCTCCTTAAGCCCGGGGTAGGACATGCCGTGCCACAACGAGGTTTTCTTCCGTTAACAGCGATATGTTGTGTTTAGGATGCTGGTCAACCAGCAGTAGCATGCCAGGTGACCAACATAAACCAGCTTAAACCAGCTATGCTGTTTTTTCAGCAGGGTCAGCTAATGTTACTAACCCAGTCACAGCATAATTTACTTCTACTGATTGTATCTTTTAGCTAGAAAACACATTTTGAAAGATAAATATTTGCGTTTGTTGATCTGTAGTTTCAATTCATACCTCACCAAGGAGCTGAGGTTTGTTTTTTTTCGCCAGGTTCTTATTGCTATTTTCTGTTCCACCTTACATGGTGCAGCAGTTACGTTCTGGCGCCCATGAGGTGTTTGTGAAGAGTTAGTTAGCTGATTCCAAACTTGCTAAATCCACTAAATGAAGCTGACTGTTCTATTCCTTTATACTATTAGAGTATGAAATAAGCTTGAACTTGATCTTGACGTTTACCCTTGCTGCGATGCTTTCTATGTGCTGTTTAACTGCATCTGAATATCTGAACAAACATTTCCTCGATTTTGCTCTGATCTTTCATGGTAGTCATGTACAGCCACATGCTAGTCAGCTCTTCAGATAAATTTAATGAGTCCCTGGACTTAAAGAAAATCAAAGAAAGCAGGTAGGAAAAGAAGATTCAATGAGCCAGAGTACAATCAGTGTAGACACTGTAGAACTACCCTGCCACAATGGTGGATCACCTGTAAGACATTGTCGTATGGCCTGACATTTCCAAACCAGCTTTCCAGCTCTATTTCTGTTGCAGGCTTAGACACTTTCCCAGGGAAATGCTCCCACAGCTGGGAATATAAGGATCCTGATGCATTCCATGGAAAAAAAGTGGTGATTATTGGCATTGGCAACTCTGGAGGAGACATTGCTGTTGAGATCAGTAGAGTAGCTGAGAAAGTAAGTGCACTGCCTTGAAACAGAACAGAGTTGGAGTGTATGTTTCTAACAATGAATCACTTTATGCTTTTTTAGAAAATTATTCAGTGCATCAGGAAATCTCAGATTTCACTGCTATTTTATTAGATTTCAGTTATTTTAAGTTTTTACATTGTTAAACACATGCACAGTGAACACACAAACATAATTAGAGCTTTTTCTACTTTTATGTTTGAAAGCAGCCCAAAAGTGTCTCAAAGTAACCTATTACATTTTCTTTAGAAAATATTATTCTAATCAGTTATAATAATTATAAAAATCAAAATTGTTTAACATTATTATAGATGATCAGTTAAATTACTATGCATCAATACATTGTTACCCCATGCAGTTTCTAATCTGCTAGTTTACATACTCTGCTTTACAATCAACCATAGTTGAGACCTCTATTGATGATTTACCATTGACACCTGGTACATTTGCCATTTCTTTTTTAGTTGTGGCCTGTGTTCAGTAGTTTGCCAGTGGTGCCCTGTATCATACATTTCTAAGCAAAGGTTTGACCTTCATTGGTCAATGTTTAGTTGACTGTCTACGTTAGTTGAGTGTCTAAGTGGAAATACGTTCTCTACAAGGAACAGACTTAAATATGGCATTTATTCTGCAAATTTCATTGGTCAATGTTTAGTTGATGTCTAAGTGGAAATACGTTAACACACACTCTACAAGGAACAGACTTAAATATGGCATTTATTCTGCAAATTTTAGTGCACAGTTTCTGTTTATTTGCTGGGTTTAACATATTGGGAAAAACAGGAAATACAACTGTGCTATAACTTTTGCACTTTTCTTTAAGAAAATCAACAATTTATGTGGTAGAATCTGGGGCGCCAACATTTTTGCACTTGACTGTATATACAGACTGACCAATAGCTGTTTCAAGGATGGGGAATTCCAGTCTGCTGTGAAGGACACCTGATCAAACTCATCAGTTAATTAACATATTTAGTTAGTGTGAGCAGCAAAATCACCAGACAGAGCTGGACAACAGTCCCACAGTTCCCCACCCCTGACCTGTCACCCCTGAATCAGTTCAATAACCAATTTCCCATCCTTTTTTTTTCTGAGACTTTTCTGAGTATTCGTGAAGGAGCGTGGGTGGTGGGCCGTATGGGCAGCAGTGGCCTGCCCATGGACATGATGTTGCTTAGACGTGCGAGTGTCAAGCTGCTCCAACTGCTTCCTCGAACATTGCTTAACTGGGTATTGGAGAGTGCTTACAACCAGAAATATGACCACAGGCTATACGGACTGCAGCCCAGCTACAGGTACAGTGGGGCAAAATAACATATCAACCACACTGGAAAGTAAATTATTTGCTTTATTGAAATTTTGTAGCACTGCAGTCAGTGATGGAGATACTGGCGCTTATTCATCAAAGTAAAACACATGAAACGTTTGTACGATGTGGAAACAAGCAGAAACAAACATTTACATGTCATTTCCATAAAGCATACCCTAATTCATGCAGATGTTTTGTTAGGGAGCCAATAAAACGATACATTGGCTCCTGATCCAATGGCTGTGCTCAAAGGCAGAGTTTGACAAGTGCACAGCTTCCCATACAGACCAAACTTTATAGTAATTTATGATGACTGGAAAGAATAAAATGTGAAATAAACAAAACGTCTTAGTTTTTTAATAAAATGATGTGACAACACTGTATTATTGCAGTTTACTAAATGCTTTTGCACTAGCTGTGTGTTGTATTTTTGTTTTTTGGCCAGTGTCAGTGATATAAAACAAAAGCACAGTGTATTATTTATATAGCGCTTGTCACAAAGCAGCTTTACAGAAAAATACGGGTCTGAGCCGCCATGAGCGTCGCCAGTGGCGACAGTGGCAGGGAAGAACTCCCTAAGAGCAAAAGGAAGAAACCTTGAGAGGAAGTAAGACTCAAAAAGATGTGATGAGATGAGATGTGCACAGCTTTGTACAGCATGAAGCTCCATGGTGGTCGAAACGGTGCAGATCAGCCAACGGAGATGGAGCTCTGGTGACTCTAGCAGCTCTGGCGGGAGGGAGAGGGAGAGAGAAATTGATTTCAGAGAGAAAGAAAGAGAAATTGATTAACAGGACAGGTCCGTTTATGGAGAGATGTTAGAGAGTAATAGTGCAAAATAACTGATATTAGCAAAATGCTTGTGCAAACAGATAAGTTTTGAGTCTAGTTTTGAATGTCCCGAACAGAGGTCAGGAGATGATTCCACAATTTTGGGGCTACGTAGGAAAATGCTCGACCACCTGCTGTGTTTTTTTCTAATTCTAGGAACTATCAGCGATATTTTGCATGTTGCTAAACTTGTTCCATTAGATTAGAACAGAGATACTTTGCAAAACAACACAGTAATATATACACTGAATACATTTAATTGCTTGAAAAGCTCTTTATGGTGGTGCAGGTTTGTTGTGACAGTAATCATTACAGCTTTGCACATTTTACACACTTCCTTGCAGATTGTTTGTCTCCCCTCTGTACACATATGAGACCTAGGTTGCAGCGTGGTTCACAACTCCTCATGCTACATTCACACCAATCCAGTTACGTCACTTTCGTGCTACGTGCACGATTCATTGTCATTGCAGCCCTCAATGATGTGTTCAATGACAGATGTTTGACAGACAGCATAATACGACAATGTGAATTAAATAAAAAAAACTTCCTCACAGTGGATCAAAGCTGATGAAGCATAATGTTTGCTGCTTCCATTCACTGACATCTCTCAAGCCTTCCTTTCTCACTTCATGTCTCTCTGTTGCAGGATTCTGGACCGACAACTCATCATAAATGATGACCTGCCAGTACGTATCCTCCAGGGGGCACTGCAGGTGAAACCGAACATACAAGAGTTCCGCGGCTCAACTGTTGTATTTTGATAATGGGGCAATAGAGGAAGGGATTGATGCGGTGGTCTTCTGTACAGGATTCAAAGCTACCTTCCCATTTTTACCACCCTCCGTAACTAACAGTCCTGAGGGGGAACTGACCCTCTTCAAAAGAGTCTTCCCTCTGTTCCTAGAGCGTCCAACACTGGCAATCATTGGGCTACTATCCCCCAAAGGATCCGTAATGCCTGTGGAGGAGATGCAGGCACGGTGGGCCACCAGAGTCTTTGCAGGTATTCCAGAACGGGGCAGAAAAAAGCTTGGGCCTTTTTTCCAAAGCATGTAGTGATTCATAAAAAATACATAGACTATATACTGTTTATGTAGCATATAGTATGTAACTATTTGCATAGTAGTGAATATGTATATTTCTATAGGAAATAGAAAAAAAAATCAGCAAATCTTTTTTTTTTTGGACTTGAAGCGTTTCATTCCAAATGGTTTTAATCATAATACAGCACTGATATTTCTTGTATGTGTAAAGCCCTCTCTCAACAGTATATATCATGAAAAGATGGTAAAAGTGGTGTTTAATGCCTTTTGAAATCAACCTTCCATTTGAAAACTGCCTGAGAATTTTTTTTCCCCAAAAATGAGCACATACTTTCTTGAATATTATTCTAATTGACTGTCTTAACTCTTTCTCAGTGCAATATTACTTTCTCTTGGGAAAACATAATGTTCTGTCTTCTTCTCTAGGGCTGAACCATCTACCTCCTTTGGCAACAATGTGTAAGATTATTAAAAGAGAAATGAAAACAAAAATGGCCAGGTAACTAAATTCCTCAAATCTTCCATTGTCAATTTTATTTTCTCCAGACTGAGTTTCCCTTCTCTGATTACCTCTCAGATGTTTACTGTTTTTACCTTCTCTGTTTTTCCTTGTCTCTTAATCTTTCATAGAAATTCTAATCCCAAGAGAGCTGCTCTTGAGGAGGACTATGTCCCTTACATGGATTCCATTGCACAGGAAGTGGGCGTGTGTCCCAGCCTCCTTTGGCTGTTCTTAACAGATCCTGGTTTGGGTTGGAGGGTTATGTTTGGTCCTGTAACCCCATATCAGTACCGGCTGTGTGGGCCAGGCCGCTGGGAGGGGGCTCGCCAGGCTATCTTCACCCAGTGGGAGCGTGTGGTCCAGCCCCTGAATACACGCCCCATTCCTGAGCCCAAATCCTCTGGCCTAACTCGCTGGCTGGGTCTGACAGGAGGGGCTGTGTTAATTTTTGCTGTCATTGTATTTCAATGGCAAATTCCAAGGTTCTAGGAATCAGGTTGCATAGATGGCCTCCTCTGTCACCTGCTAATAGTGCTGTATCGTGGTGGAGCGAAGTGTGATGTAAGTCAGTGGAACCGGGCTCTTTTTGGTAGTTCAATTAGTCTGTTGCTGCTGTCAAAACAAAACTAGTAGCTCCGTTTTTGGTTTTCGACTTGCCTGTTGCTCTTTGTGTGCAAATTTCATGATGAATGGGCCAAAAGAAATGACCCTAAATTACTTGGAAAAAGTCTGGTTCCATTGACTTACATTAAAAGTAAAGTAGGTTTTTTCCTTCTCCTGTAAAGTTACAATTTTGGAGATACGAGATTTTGCTCTGACAGCAGCAATATATTATCATACTGTATATTGTTCCTAGAAAATGTAGATGATTTTGGACATACTGCGTTTATAATGTATATTAGCATCCCTGTTATAAGAATAGTAAACAGTTCTGAAATTTACTTTATTTCAATCTCCTATCATGAAAAACGTTTTGCACATTTATATTTGGAGTAAATTAACTTTTGTGTAAATATAAGGCTTTTATACTAAATACATTATAACGCATATTTCCACAATTCGTTGCAGTGACATTTTGACTGATGATAGATTTTATCTACACTGTGTTTAAAATAAAGAAGTGGTGCTTCTGGAAAAACGACAAACATTGCCTCAACCTTTGGCCTAAAGAGTAACAGCAACCTTATCACCCCAGTTAGATCTGTTATAAAGATCATCTCTAATCTTTATAGACAGGCATTGTTTCTAGATGCAATCTAGGTAAAAGGGCATCCTAAGGTATGATCATGAACAGGGACAGATCATGGTCTTCCAGAGCTCCTTTAGTCTTTAGAGGCCCCCTGCACTCCAACAATTACATGTAATAAATGAAAATAATGATGACCAAAATATAAAGGCTTTTAATATTTAAAGTTCTATTGTGTGTTGTAACAGTGTTTGTATAATATGTGGGTTGTTTTGGATTTAATTTAAATTGAGATTTTTTTTCTTTGTCTTTCAAGCCAAACTGAGTCATACACACTAAACAACATTGCATGCGCAATAATAACTAAAAACAGAAAATATATCTTCATTTAATTCATTTATTTATGCAAGGGATGTCTGAGTGTCTTATGTTTACATCTGCACTGGACTACCCTAAGTATTTGTCCTACTTGAGTCTTGTGGCTTGAGGCCTCCCCGAGGTCCCTGGGCACTGGCTCACCTGGGGCTCCATACCTGGGCTTGAATGACAAAGAAACTATTTTCTTATGAAAGTACACTCAAAACGCATCTCTCTGAAAGATCATACCACATCATGAAATGTCAAACCAGCACCAAGGAGCAGGTTTGTCCATCCAGGAGGTCATGAAGATAAAAAGGGTTTCACATATTTCTTATGTTGCAACAGTATTAAAGAAACCATATAATTGAAAAAAAAAAATCCTCTTTTTTTTTTTTTAAATAACATAGCATTTTTTGTAAAAAATACCATCCACTCCCCAGTCCATAATCCATATACAGAAATCAAGCTCCAAAAACAGCCGTTTTGAATTTATTGTTGCGATGTCACAAAAACCAGTGTATTTACATGTATCCACCTTTTCAGCCTATAGCAGTTTAGCCACACCCATTCACAGTGAAGTCAGTGTTTCGATCAGGACTGCTTTTTGAATGACGTTCTTTACAGGACACTCAATCACAGCAGAGGTAATTTACATATCACTGTTCTCTGAAGAAAACCTTGTATCTCCACTTTTGATGTTTTTTAGATTTTGGCATAATTTGAAAATACCCGTTGCTCTTTACATTGTTAGTAAATTTCATGATGAAAGGACTGAAAGAAATGACCCCAAATTACTTGGAAAAATGTCTGGTTCCATTGACATTAAAAGTAAAGTAGGTTTTTTCCTTCTCCTGTAAAGTTACCATTTTGGAGATACAAGGTTTTCTTCTGACAACAGCGAGATATCAGTCTTAAAGGCACAGTAATAAAAACAGCTTGTTTAATTATAATGGATATGCAGATTGCATATTGGTCAAAGTGGAGAAATTTTTGGTATGTTGGTAATCACATAAATAAAGTGGACCCTGGGGAAAGAAATTTTATTAAAAAGGGGGTTGAATTTGGACCCATTAATGGAGCACATTACATAAAAATTACAAATTAATGAAATACAAGAATTGAACCATAATATGAACCTTGTATTTGTGCTTTAATGCCTTTCATAAATGCAATTATAGCTCAGTGAGGCTGCGGTCAGTGCAGGTGTTGCTTTGAATTAGACCCTGTTGACATTCGGATGAGGCCTGTGGTTGAAGCTGAGGCTCAAATAAGCTGGAGTGGTGTAGGATGGCAGCGTTTTCTAGAATTCAAATACAAAATCTAATTAGAAAATGCAAATTCTGTCATGTATTTGCAATTTTGCTTCAAATTTGAGCGTACTCAAATTATATAATACTCATTGAATTGCGAAACGTGTTTGTGTTTGCATTTTTGTGTTTAATAATGTACAACGGCTAAAATTAAAACAGTAAAGCAAAGTCTGTTTGATGATTCATTTCCAGTGTCTTAACAGTCATGATTCTGCATCATTACGAAAAAGCAACAGTAAGCCCTTCCTCATCATCACACTCCAACACTGCTAAAATTGGACTGATTTTGCAATCCTGTGTGAATCTGCACTTTCACTGCCAGCAAAATACTTCAATTAATCAATAAACATTCACGGATAAATTCAGGTTACTGTGTACAGGGTGGCACAATTAATCATACAGAGGGATTGACACCTTGGCAGCTCAGATCAGGAAACCTTTGACATAGTTTCTATTCAGAGGTGCTGGAGTGTGAGGAGAATGCAAAACGTACTGAGATTAGACTTGGATTTCCACTTCCTCCAGTACCAGGCATTCAGCTATTTTGAAGCGGACGTCCCTTATTTGGCATAATTCCTAACCAGCGATCAATGCTTTTACCTGGAACAGGATCAGATTACTTTGAAGATTTATTTATTCAGGACTGGTTTGGGTAGAATCTGTTCTACTGCCCTGCTGAAAAAAAACAGCATAGACCAGAGTAGAAAATCTTTGATCTTGCCATGGAGGAGATTCAGGAGACTGGGGTTCACAGAATTAATGATAGTTTATTCAAAGAAAGAATGAGCACTCTGTCCATATTCTGCTCCCAAAACCAGTCTAACCCCAATCTGAACAGCAGTTGAGACACAAACCATTCATGCTTTCCCCCAGTAGAGTCAGAACAGAGCGAGACATTCGAATCCTGTCGTAAAAACCTTAGTGTTGTAAACTGTGTCCCAGGAAGGGGGTGTTGTAAGGCAATTTGCTGCACCCGTTCAAACCACAAGAACAGAATGGAGGTGGCTTCAGCATTAATACTGTTTAACAATGAATAACAACAATCGCTGCAGTAAAATGAACAGGAAACTAGAAATTAAATCAAAATAAAACAATTCACAACACCATTATGCTGATCTGAGCTGATCTAAACTGGTTTATGCTGGTCTAATGCTGGTCTGGTGCTGGTTTAGTTGGTCACCCATGGTCGACCAGCATACCAGCATCCAAAACACAACATATACTAGTTTTACTGATGAGCAGCACGTTGACTTCCATTGCTGCTGACCAATGATATGACTGATCAACTAAAACTGAATCTGTCAATTATGGTAAACATCTCTTTGACAGATTTTGAGTAATTGGTTGTTTGCAAAATTCAGAGAAAGTCCTGCCTCCACGAGTTGTTGGCAGCATCTATAACACGTGACTAAATCATCTATAACACAGAATAAAACATTCAACAGCACACAGAAAAGCACACCTTCAAAAATAAACTGGCTTTATAAGATGTTCAGTGCACTGAACTGATTAAAAGAACTGTTAAAATGAACATGTAGGTCAATTTAAAGTGAACAAAAATGGATTCTGGAATGCATGTTAACAATAATCAAAGCAGGGAAACTGTTTCGTCACTCAACATTAAAGTAGTAGGTTTTTGTGTCTAATGAGCAGGTTTTAGTGACAGAATGCCATACATTTGAAATCCATATTATATATTTCAGAATAATTACTGCCAGCACTGTTTTGAGGAGTTCTTTCTGATGGAGGAAGGAATGTTTAGAGATGATTGTGATCAGCTGAGAGGTCAATCAGAATAGTGCAAGTGGTCAGTTGTGAGTCTGAAATTGTCTTAAGCAATACCAACATTTCCTCATTGCTGAAAAGCCTTTGTTAGAATTGAGTGTACTGAGTTCCATGTTGCCATGTTGTTTTCATTGATTTAGAGTTATAAATATATATATACATATAAATCAATGAAAACTGAATTTCAGTTAATTATCAAATTCATCATACTTTTTCTTATACTCAAATAGACTATTTTCCAAAAATATCCAGATACGTCGTCTAATTAGTGAATTCAGCTACTTTAAGGAGCACCCATTGCTGATGCAGAGGTTCAATTGTGCATGCATAGTTTGTATAATTATTTAACATCATTAAGGCTCCTGAATGCAGTCAAATACTCACAGCTCAATATATCCAGTGTAAAACCTTTCCAGAAGAGTAGAAGCTGCTACTGCAGTAAAGGGGACAAACTCCCTATTAATACCCTTAAAGATAGTTCAGTCATCCGGAATATATATGGAATCAAGTAAAGTTAATGGATTACTTTTTTTCAGTGTAGCCACATCTGGCTTTGATAAAGTCACCTAAAACTAGGATTTAATATTGTAGCATGTTTAAGAAATGTTTTCACATGTTAGTTTTACATTATGCCTTCTCCAGCATTGATTATGCATGATTCATTTTGCTGAGGGCTTTGCTAGTAGACGTCTCAGGGCTGTGCCCAGCCCCCAGGCTGTGTGTGTGTGTGTGGAGAGGAGAAGAAATAGGTGAGAAATGTGAGCTGAGTCAGAGAGTGCATTTACATACACTTAATAATCCAATAACTGTAGAAAATCAGGTTTTGTCGACTGTGTGTGGGTGTGTGTGTTTTTACATGAGGCCTTTCAGCAAACTTTAATGAAACAATATAAAGATGTCACGTGTAAGAATGCATTAATAATTATACACACAATGTTTTAATCACAAATGCTGATAAATCAAGCTAGCTGCCTGTAGCTAAGTTAACTAGCGAGCTAATTAACATTTTTGTGTAACATTAATCCACATCGTATTTAAGTACAGTAGTACAGACAAAGTTTTCTAGCTCCAAGAATGAAATAAAAACAGTACCAACCCTAAGATGATCAGGATAGCATGTTTCAGGTATTGTATGCTCTTCAGCAACACCTTTCCAACTTCTCTTAGTCTAATCCCATATAGAAATCTCATATATGACCATATATTTAAAAATATATGTTGTGTACATATAAGTATGTTGGACATCTACACATAATATATGGATTATACATATATGGATCGTGAGCATACATACATGGTTGAATACATCCCAGTACAGTTATCATTGTTACTATGGTATCTGTTTGCTTTTGCATATTACATTATTAACAGTATTTTCATTTATTTCCAGTTTTAATGATTTTACAATTTTACAATTTTACAATAGAGATGTTTTTACTGTTTAAAACTGAGTTTATTGTACTAATGTTCACTTCATTAGGAAGTGTGGAAGATGCATACAAACTTCTAATTACGTAACATGAAGCTATATATGGATATTGGTTTCTATAATATATTGTTAAACATTGTTATATTTAACAAAGAATTCAGAGCTGCAAAGATGATCTACTCAAACAAGCTGAGTAGCATGTCCACAAACGAGCCATTGACTATCTGGAAGTGCCTGCAGAACATTGCCAGCTACAAAAGGACACCCCCCCAGACAATGGGTGATTGTCGGCCTGCTGAGGAGCTTAACAACTTTTGCTGCAGGTTTGAAAAGCCCAGCTCCACACACCCATTCAGCATAGATTCACCCCATCCTGTCATTCAGCTACCTATTCAACCTGCCCTGAAGATCTGCGAGAAGGACGTGCACCGACTCTTCAGGAAAAAAACGTGAGGAAAGCACCAGGACTGGATGGTGATCTGAGGGCCTGTGCCGACCAGCTCACAAACGTGTTCACAATGATCTACAACAAATCACTGGAGCTGGGTGTCGTACCTTCCTGCTTCAAACACTGTACCATGATAACAGTTCCCAAGAAAGCTCAGCCTTTAATACGATCATCCCAGGACAGCTACACAACAAACTGCTCCAATTGAGTGTGCCAACCCCCACCTGCCAGTGGATCACCAGCTTGCTCACTGGCAGAGAGCAGCAGGTGAGGTTGGGAAAGTTCACCTCAAAACCCAGATCATCAGTACAGGCGCTCCACAGGGTTGTGTACTCTCACCATTGATCTTCTCACTGTACACAAATGACTGTACCTCCACGGGCCCCTCAGTTAAAATCTTGAAGTTTGCAGATGACACTACAGTCATTGGTTTCATCCATGATGGTGACGAGTCGGGTGTTTGATCAGGTGGTCCTTTTGAGCAGCCACAACAACCTGGCGCTGAATACAGCAAAAACAGTGGAGATGACAGTGGACGTCAGGAGGAGCCCTCCAACCCTGCCAGCACTCACCATCCTGGACAGAACTGTGATGGCAGTGGAGTCCTGCAAGTTCCTGGGCACAACAGTCACCACGGACCTGAAGTGGGACAGCAACATCATCTCACTTACCTGCCCTATTACCCCCTTTTATCTGACTGTTACCTCACTTATCCCTTTTTTGCCACTATATCCTTTAACTCCTGCTGCACTCAGCACTTTAA